AACCGCTTTTCCGCACATATTTTGAAAATTGTCGGCGCCAGGGTGTCGCCACCAGGGCCATACCCTGAATTGGCCGTCAGCACCGGCAGTTTTGGGTGGGTGGAAAAAATGGAGGGCACGGGGCAGCCATTATGCCGAGAGGAGAAGAGGAGGGGAAGGGCAGGTGGACAGGATGGGTATCGGGGAGGTGGTACCTGAATATGGGTTGGGATAAGGTAAAAAGGTAGAAGGGCACCTGTCCAATCCAGAAAACCCCTCGGCTGGGTGACGAATAAATTTGAGGGGGACCGAATGGGGGTGGCACGAGAATTCGGGAGCAGTCTTAGAAAATTGCCCCAAAACTCGGGTAAAAATCAGCCAGGGAACCGAATTTCGAAAAGCGAAATTTACAATTGGTTGAGCCATGAAATTCCGGCCGTGAGCGGGTTTCAAGGCTTGTAAAAATCCGTTTTTGTTCTGCAGAGGGCAAACTGGGGTAAAAACTGCAAAAATTACTTGGATTAGGCTTTTGTTAATCGACTACGCAATGAAATTATGGCCCTATACGTTCGACAACTTTTGACAATGTGATTTTTCGCTGGAATAGCTCGCTGGACTACAAGCTATAGATCGGAGAAAATTAGACGGTTTGAGCGTCAATATAGCCAATTTTGATTTACCTATCGTAACCTTTTGCAGGAAACACATCCCAAGTGGCGAGCGATATCTCGACTCGAAATGGCCGATTCGCGTCGAGCAGAAGAGTGCTGGAGAATATGAATGTCGAGCATCAAATAGCATCGGAGAATCAATGGATCGGCTACGAGTAGATGTACAATTCAAGCCGAGGGTTGTCACCAAGGTAAGCGCTAAAAAAATGGTATAATTCTCTTAATTGGCATCCAAGACTTCTTAGCATTCAAAAGGCTTAAAAATCTCTCAACTGTCATCCAGCCTACCCAAAAATCTATCGAGAATTAATTTTTGGGGTACCGTAACCTCAAAAAATAATAATTCTCCCGACTGGTATCCAATTCATCCAAAAATCTATTGAAAGGACTTTTTTCAGAATACCGTAAACTTAGAAACTAGCTTAAATCGCTTAACTGCCATCCATTCCATCCAAACATCAACTTAAAAAATATTTTCAGGATACCGTAACCCCGTCGGAGGGAGATACCGTAACCCTGGAGTGCCAAGTCGAGGCCAACCCTCGTGAAGAAGCCGTAGAATGGACGGGACCAAACGGCTTCCAAGCCAAGGGACCCAAAGTAGTGATCCCATCCGTTGCTCGGGATCAGAGTGGAGATTATGTATGCCGAGCTACAAACTACTTGACGTTGTATGGACAAACTGGCACACAGCCAAGAACAGGACAATCCACATTGAAGGTAATTTCAGCGTTTAAAGCAATTTTCATAGCGTAATTGTTTTAGCTGGATGTCAGAAGGAAGCCTGGAGCCGCCAAAATCAGCCCGGCTACCCTTAATGTGCCGGTTGGAGGGACTATCCAATTGTCGTGTCAAGCCATCGATCTCGGAAGCCCGCAAGCCGAATATAAATGGGCCAGCCCGAGCAGTGGAGAACAGTTTGGATCACTGTAGGGGTTTAACGAAATTTACAAATGATCGGCCATAACTTAGTAGTTTGTATTTTTGCAACAATACAGATTTTTCCAAAATCATGTGGGTTTTTGCGATAGCTTTCACATTTTTGGCTCAATTGTCAGCCAGCTGGCGCTATCCATTCAGCGCTGGTACCGGTTTGTTTCCGGTTCGAGAATTACACGTAAATAACGCATTAAAATTAGTAAGAAACTGTAGTATGTATGCCAGTTTACCTTTTGATACGGTTTTTTTCTTTCAAGATTCGCAAAAATGATTAACTTTGTAGCCGGTAGCCAATTTCTTATTTTTCAGCGATCACGCCGGCGACATGTTGACAATTCGAAACGCTCAACTATCGGATAACGGAGAATACCGTTGTCTGCCGTACAACCGAATCGGAGACGGAGATATTGGAATTGTTCGAGTCGTCGTCATACAACCTGCTACTATCTCAAGGCCGTTAACAACAGAAAGGATATATACGGCTGGCGAGACGGGAACTGGACTCGAATGTGAAGCACAGGGGTACGGTAGTTTCCGTGTAATCGACTTACAGCCCGTAATCGATCTCTGATTTTATTTTTCAATTTTTCAGATACCCCGCCCCCGAAGTGCTGTGGTTCCGCAACGGTCAACCAATCGACAAATCCCGATTCACCCTGGCGAATACCGTATCCCGGTCGTCGTGCCCACCCGGGGATTACTGTACCCGATCTACCGTATCTACTCTCTCCTTCCGAGCCGCTGTGGAGTGGTCCGATAAGGGCAATTATACCTGCGTTGCGGCTAATGGTACGCGCTTTTAGAAAAATTACAACAGCAAGAAATAAAAAAATTTTCAAAATCGAATTTTGAGATTTTCAACAAGTGATGTTTTTTCAGGAGCCGGTGAAGCCGCTTCGACGTGGACAATTCTTCGCGTAGTCCATAGCCCGCAGATCCTGAACGATATCTACAATGGAGAAGCCCTGGCTGCGACTGATCTCGGGAATACGGCCCGAATTTCGTGTCGTGTCTCTGCACGTCCGGAACCGAAATTCGCCTGGTTGAAGGAATCGACGGAAATCGAGGAGGGACCGAGATTCTCTGTAGCTACAGCACAGATTCCTGGTCAACCTGATGAATACGAATCGGTACGGTGTCGCACGTTTTAAAGGGATGTAGACAGCCAGAAAAGCAAGAGAGAGGAGAGAGAGAGAGAGAGAGAGAGAGAGAGAGATAAAGTGAAAGACGTTAGGTTTTTTTCAGATCCTCTCCTTCCCGGAAACCACAAAAGGCGACTATGGACAGTACTTGTGCCGAGCCACCAATGGCAAGGGCGCAAAGGCCGAGGCGATCATTCGACTGAAGGAACGAAGTGAGTGGATGGTAGTTTTGAGAATTATACGACAAAATTACAACCAACCGATTACGGAATTTTTTTTCGACTACAGACCAAAATTTAGGCCCCCAGAAATGGGTGAAAGGTTTCCTTGGCGAAACAGACCATAAATCTAAATTCATAAAATCTTTAGAAACTACAGGCTGCAATTTCTATTTTTTTTCAGTTCCATTTCCCCATTTTTAGGCGCTCCCCAAGCCCCGCTCCAGCTGAAGAAAATGACCACCTCCCCGTCCTCCCTATTTTTGGCGTGGAAACAGGGCTTTGATGGCGGTTATGCGCAGACGTTTATTCTGGAGTACAGACGGTACGGTAACATTTGGATTTCTCAAGAAACATTGATTTTTCAGTTTTTCGAATCATCGTTATGTTTCAGGTTGAACCCATTTACGGAGACGCTTTCCGAGGAAGAGGTGACTACGGTAGAAGTCAAAGAATTGCAGAGGATAGATGCTCCAATTGTAGGTTAAATCAGGCGCATTTTGCTGACTTTCACCGTCCCTTTAAAACGCAAAATATCTCAATTCCAGTCGGATTCAACTCGATCGAAGCGTTCTCCCGGATTCCAAAGTCTCGTCGCCTACAATCTGACCAATCTACTCCCGAAATCCACCTACTATCTGAAGATTCGTGCCAAGAATCAGCAGGTAGCATTATAATGACGTAACCAAATACCGTAATTGTCCTAGGGAATGTCCGAATTTTCCCCAATTCTCTCTGCAACGACTGATGATGTGTACGAGGATCGGACCGTTGAGGCGCCCGCCGCGATTTCCTACAATGCCCGCACGATGGGGCTCGTTTTGGAGGTACTGTTGTCCCGTTTTTTGGCTTCTCCTAGATTTTTAAAGAATACTTCGAATGATAATCGGGTATCTGCCTGCCAGTTTAAATAATTTCGAATCTACATTTAAATTTAAACAGTGAAATTAAGCAAATTTAAAAGAACCGTCTTTTTGACTTCTCGTTTTTATTCTTCACACATTATAAACTTTGTTTTCAGCCAAAACCCTCCTCGGACGTGTGCGTGCAACTGTACGTCTCGTTCGGTGACATGTCCCGAGGAGTGGAATGTTGGCCATCGGATCGAGAGATTTCTGAATTGCCGGGTGGTGGACAGTTTGCAGTACGGTATTGCTCGCGGAACAATCGGATACAGTGTTCGCCGATCAGGTACGGTAGAATGGATGCCAGAATGTGTTTTCAACAAACAAACACTGATAATCAAATCGAATTTCAATAAATCAAATCAGAAAATCCAAAAACGGGCCCTTTGGGCGAAAAAATTAAATAAACTATTTTAATTCAAGTTAATTTCGCTTTTTTTAGTCACGCCGTCTCCTCGCCAAGCCCTCTAAGCTCAAGATGGCGCTACTTGGTGCCTCTGCTCGTTGGACTGATCGTGATCGCGTTCCTCTCAATCCTCTGCGCAATTTGTTGCCGATCGAGGCGAGGAGTCGACGATAAGGCGAAAAAGGCCAAGAAAATGGATATGTAAGTGAATTCAAATTTTAAACTGTCTGCCAGAAAAGACAATAAAGCCCTAAAAAACCTACTTAGCGGATATTTTAGTCGCCCTGAAGTCTCCGGGCCAATGCCGCCAATGGAAGCGAAGAATGGGATGACACACGGATCAGCCACTGATTCTGGTGTATTTACACTCGAAAATGGGCAGAAGGGCATTGGAGGAGGAGCCGGATCGGTTAATGGACACACATTCAGCGCGTGAGTCGCAAAAATCCTTTAAAAGGGGCCGTGAAGTCCGCGGATCGTCCCCCTTGCGTTGCATAGGTCTGCACAATTCACTCCAAATGACGCGTTGAAGCGCGCATTATTTTTTTGCTTTCGAGCTACTGTAACCATCAAAACGGTTTTTAATGCGTGATTTGGAGTGTGGCGTAGCTTTCGACACCTAGTCGATTCAAGGGATTCAAGATTCAGATTCACGACGTAATTTCTGAATTTTCAGGAACGAAACACTACCCGAGCGAGATTCGTGGCCGCCGCATTCTGGGCCAGTTCCCTCCCAATTCGACCCATTCCACAACGATCCGTATTTGAATGAATATGATGGGACGGCGTGGAGGACTAGTGGTAAGCTATAAAATATATTAAAAAATTGAAAACATAACAAAATTAAAGTAGATTTAATTTATTTGGGATTCAAATGATTTTGAAAATTTTGAAATCGAAAATTTTGAAATTCAATTGAAACTAATTTTTTTGAAAAATTAGCAATTTCTAAAAAAAGCACAAGAAGGACAAGCCAGCGACAAAAACTAGTGGTACGTTAAAAGATATATTAAAAATTAGGCAAATACGTAAAAACAAGCAGGATTCATACATTTATAACTTTCCCGCCTAAATTGTCAAGTTTTCATGTAGTCGATTTAAACCTTGTTCGTTCATGATTTTGATTTTTTAATAATTTGTTAAAATTGAGTTTAAAATGCAATCGATTCGGTTTTAATGGAAAGCATTAAATTAATGAGTTTGGCCAGATTAAAATCTGATCAAAATAAGATTTTAATAAAATTAAAATTATCAAAGGTGAACAATAAAATAAATAAATTATTTTTGGAAGTTCTTTTTTAGAAATTAATAAATTAATTTGAGTGCACGACGGCAGCGGCACCGGTTCGGGACCCGAGAACCAGACAGCGACGACACATTCCGATGGAGGAGACTCGGATTCGGAGGCATTTTCCGGACAGGGCAGAGTTATCAGAGAGATTATCGTCTAGACTCTAGTCTCTAGTCTCTAGACATTTCTCTGCGTCTTTCCCCTCCCCTGTCTCTCTCTTTCTCTGTGTGTTTCTCTTCTCCAAATGCGGGTCTATCCATTCTATTCGGTGCTCTTTTATTCCCTATTCGATTACGACATGAAAATTGTAGCTAGAAGAATATTTAAACTAAAATTAAATAAAATCTAGTCCTAATAAAAAATGTGCGAAAATGGCTCAATCTATTCACTTAAGAAAACTCATCAATTAAAATTTTTTGTAAAATAATACAAAACGTTGTGATGCAGAGTTACGGTACCTCGATTAATTTCTGAAAATTAAAATAGCAATTTAGCCATGACAATAATTAATGTAATATTTTTTTTTGAATTATTTAAAACCAGCGATCTCGTCAACTCAATTCTATCGCTCTTTCATCACTAATATCCCCTATATTTTGCTTTAAAGTATCATCGACAAATCGCTATTATATTATCATCATTTGGCGATGTTTTTCTGTGTTTTTATTTGTTTTTTTTGTTTGTATAGATTTGTGGAATTGGAGGATAAATATATTTATACGTTTTACATTGAAAACACATTTTAACTATGAACTACATTCGAAACAACACATTTTATTGAAAATTGAAGTCTAAAACTAATTAACAAATTCATATACTGTTATTTACAATTGCGGTTTATAGAAAATGGCTTAAATACAGTACAATAATTAAGCCAAAAATTTGGCAGACGGCATTTTATGCAAAAAAAACTTCAGCGAACCCGAAATGTCTTAAAAACGGTGCGTGCATTTTGAATTTGATGGCGTTTAGAGCTTCAAAAATTGCGTACAGAAATTTTTGGCAAAAGAAATTAAAAGCCAGGTTTTAATCGATACCGGATACGGAGAAAAACAGTTTTATTAATGCTAGAAACATCACTATTAATGCGATTAATAAGAGATCCCAACCTGACAGGTGCGTTCATCAGGTTCACATCTGGTAGTGATCGCCCAAATGTGACCCCAGGCGACATCTGGGGGTGAAAAGTGATAAGAAATTGCTATAAAAGAAACGGAAAATTGCGCATTTTTATTCTAATCGTTCAACGGACCATCAACGCCTTCAGCCGATACTACGCTGCCATCAAATCTTCTTCACCAACAATCAAGATGCCCGTCCAACAGGTACGTCTTTTATTTAGTTATACATAGAATTCTCGATTTATTTCATGTCAGTTAACTTTAGTTTAACTTAATTAAGTGAATTCCGAACGTTCAAAAAACTAGTTTGGCTAGCATTATCGGCGAAAATTATCATAGTAAATTTTATCAATTTTTTTGCGTCCAACGCCATGTCCCTTTTTTAATAATACTTCATTAATTAGAGATACTTTTATTGGATAATGATGTGATTTTACGTCGTATTGTGGGTCGTTTTTTGCCTTACCCTTCCGGCTGGGGGTTGTCTGCTATCCCGTGCCCCTGGTTTCGGCCCGATACACGCGACCTATTCCTATTCCAATTCCTCGGCCCCGCCGCCAATTCACGAAAAGGCTTCTTTCCTCAAGGAATCTAAAACATATTTAATCGAAACTCTTCTAGTCCTCCTCGAAAATGGCCTCCACGTCAACACCCGGTGATTTGAGGATCAAGACTGGAGATGGTAAGTCAAAAATCACGAAAAATATCGTTTCAAAGAGTTTTACATCAACCATTACAAACTCTCAAGTGTTAGCTGTAATGAAGTAATACAATTGATAAAAAAGTGGCTACTTTCTTACATTATGAAGATTTTAAAAGTCTCTCGAAAATTTCGGCTTTTGATTCTGAAAATGTCATTTTTAAGATGTTTGATAATTTTTTTGGTAGATGCTTTTTATATGGTTCAACAGACAGCTACGGTATTTAAACATATATTTCGAAAAATAGCGGAAACTAAAGCGGAAATATCGACTCTCGCTCCAGGCACCTTCATCGCCTCAAGCCAACGAGCCGACGGAAGCTGGCGAAAGCCGAGAAAAGTGAAGGAGGGATATATTCCACAGGATGAACAACCTAAATACCAGGCAAAGGGAACGGAACCGGCCGTCAGGGGACGGTAAGTCGATTCGGAATACGGTACCTAGAGCGCGAAATAGCACCAAATCAAATCCAGGTCGATTTGTAGCCAGAAAGTTAGTTTTCGTTGAAAAGCTAATTTCACTGAAGATTATTTGCTATATTTATCTGGACTGTCCATCAATTTGTCCAAAAAATTAATATCGATCATGTAAAACGTCTAAAAAATTGGATTAAGGAAATTCGGTTTGGCCGGTTTTCACCAATTCTGAGTGTTGACCCGATCTTTGCAAAGAGATTTGAAAGTCTTGTTTCCTATTTTGCAAAATGATAAAATTGTTAGTCAATCAATACAATAAAATGCCTTAATTGATGTTTTTTCCAGCGCGCCAGTTGGGATCACCCCGATGGCATTGGCAGCACGAGGGGCTGGAGCCTCGCGTCCACAGAAACCGATCACGGCCATTGAGAAGGAAAAGGCATGCATCACCCCACAGGATCATGTCAAGAGGAAAATGGGGAATGTGCAGAAGAAACTGGATGAGATTACGCAATTGGAGGTCAGTTTGGAAGCCTATTGCTAAAAAAATTACACTTATTTATACCGATTAACCAAAGTTATCTATTTAATTTTTGAGTTAAGATCATGCTGTTTTATTAATTCAGTTGTGACGACGGCAACTAACTCCAAAACTAAAATTCATTTAAAAATTTCGAAAATTAACTTGAAAATATCCTGTAGTTTTGAAATTTTAAACGCCGGAAAGCCAAAACCAAATTGCCGGCTTTTTAAAAGTATCGGCGATTTTCTTGACTGACAATAGACAAATTTGTATATTTTTTAAATTCCGGTCCCCAGACCCTGAAAAATATATGTTTTTGCCTAAACTGGCAGCCAGTTATCATAAAAACCATGAAATAGGCATTTTCGAACCGATTTTTAAAAGTATCGGAATTATCCATCAATTTCCAGGAACGTGTCGCCAAGGGTGAGGCAGAAAAGTTGGAGAAGAATCAGCTGACCAAAATTGAGCGAAAAGCGCATTATAACGACGAAATGGCAAAGTTGGAAGAGCAGTTGAAGGCCCTAGATGTCAAGAAATAAGCTGAAACCTGTGATTTCCGAGCTATGAAATGATTGATGGCGTTTCCGCTCAATAAATATAAATTCTAACCTAACTGTTTGTAAGCCATTTTCAAATGCAAAACTATGACAAATCAAACCCAAAGAAATGCAATAGGGTTGTAATTGAAATCTGGTATAACAATAAATACATAAATAATAATACAATAAAAGAGAGAAAAGTATATAAAAGTAAGAATAAGATAGAAGAAACCTCCACACTGCGAACAGTGGGAGTTATAACAAGCCGAAGCCTGCGTTACCCCGAAGGGTGTGAACTCGCAGGCGAGCGATACGGCAAAGCCGTGTAAACCAAACCACGAGGGAATGGCGGTTTTGCTCTAAGAAGAGCTAAAAGGAAATAGTATAAAAGGATGCCTGTTTCGACCCTTAACCAAGACAGGCTAGTTAAAAACTTGGTTTCATGAATAGTTGGAAACTCGCCATTTTCTAATGGTATAACTATCAATATAATCTGATAATTCGGCGTCGAGTTAGAGGGGGTGTTTTTTTATTGGGGGATACCTTTTTAAAAACAGTACCAGGGTTGAAAAGCCGCTTCGCGACTTTTCAACCCTGGTACTGTTCTAACTTGATGAAATTCTTCACTCTGCATACGTCTCTCGAATTCCTATGGGGGAAAAATGAGGAATTCCACTCTCTCACGTTATATATAGGCTTCCGCCACTTCCGGCATATGCTAATTATTTCCTAACAAAGAAGGCTGCCGAATTTTTCAACAAAAACTCAATTTTAATATCGAAAATAGCATAATTTGCAAAATCTGATATGCGTGCAGTCATCTCGGGGACGTTACGCACCTAATGACGTATAATACGCAGCGTAACGCCCTTCCCCTCTTGAGATATCCTCCGGACACGGTGACGGAAGTTGCATTCAAATGCACACACACACACACACACACACACAGGAACTATTTTTTTATATATAGTAGGATTTTTGCAAACGAGGCGCTTTACGTTCAATTTATTCACTATTTTGATATTTTAGGCTTGTCCGTAATTTTCTAATCTCTGCATGCAAATACACGATCCCATCTTATTCATCCCAGCACAATTGACAAATTCCCAACCGGAAGTCAACTAAAAATAAATCGATAATTTTCTAAAAATCCTGAAAATCTGCATCCACTCACATCAGAACACAACAGATCCACTCCTTTATTTGTCGTGTATGTTAGGGAATTCGGGGGTGAATAATCGAATGGGGAGCCATCTCTGAAAAGGGGAAAATTAATAGACGCGTTCACAGAGCACAGAGTTAACCGCTCGTTCAAGGTATCGGGAAGTCTGAAAATCGACTCAAGGGAACGATTCAGTCTCGACAACTGCGCAAGTTTCCCAATGACATTACATTTGGTTGGCGGCTAGGCTAAAGCCTTTAGGTAAAAATCTAGAAGCGACTGGATGCATTAATTGACGAATAGCGTTGTCGAGACCTGGTTATGGTCAGAGGTCAATTTTCCCGTTATTTAGACCGATGAAAGTGCCAACTGACCTCCAAGTATTAATATTATTCCCCGTCCAAGTCATCCCAAGCCAAACACCGATATATTGAGTCGAGGCCGAACAGTCTCCTCGACTCGACCAAACATCTGAATTTAATAGAACAGGTAGAGTATTTTTGAAACCAGCGCATCATGGCGCCTGATTTTTATAAAACGTGAGCTTACTGGTCATAAAATTATTTTCGGCGTCGGAATGGATCGATGGTGGCTGAAGGCCAAGGTATAAACAAGTATCAAGGCAATTCTAAAAAAAGCCGGTTTTGTACAATTTAAAACTCAGAAAAAAATTTATAAAATCCATACCAAGCGCAAAGATGAGAGATAAAAATAAACCTAGGTTCTACGAAATTTTTATAAAAATAGCATAACAATTATAGGGATTTAGAAAAAATCGGTCGAACGGGAAAAAACGATCAAAGAGAGAATACGTAAAAAGCATCGCTGTACAGCTTACTTGTACGTATGAACAGTCACCCAAATTGTAGTAATTTGTATTGTTGAACACCCAGTCTGGCGAAACTGAAAAATGATTTTTAGCGAATTTTCGAAACTGCGATTTCTGAGCCAATTATGCCACTTACTGCTATCATAATAATTCGAGCACCCGGAATATTGTGGCCCGGAATCGGTGGAAACTGTCGAAACGCTGTATTCCGGTGCGGATTGATCCAATAGACAACTACTTGTCGACCCTAAAAATTACATACTTTAAAATTTAAAACAACTTTAAGTCAATTAAATGTGGCGAATTTTAATCGATGCGTCAAAATGCCATTCAAATCAATAACTAACTCGGGATTACCAAAATCTCACGATGGTGATTGCTACTCAATGGCAGAAAACTAAACTAAAAAATCTAAAACATAAAGATGGTTTAGATTCAGATTTCGAACGCGGTAGTTTAATAAGATTTTACCAGCACTAATCCCACTGCAACTATTCTTCCCGCATTTTTTCAGGCATTGTGGTATGGGTAGAGCAGCGCCCTCGACTCTTTTCACGAGCAGTAAGGTAGCCGATGCAATAGTTAACAGCAAAAAAATTATCAGGAACCTTGGGAACATCGTTGCTAGTTGGAACCCGGAATTTGCAGTTTGTTGTGGAAATGTTACAGGGCTTCCGTGAACGGCGTGGAAACATTAGTTGCTAAACAACAGGAGGGTGGTGCGCATCCGTGTGTCCAAAAAGTAGACATATCTCAACCGGAAATGGGATTGCTACACTGCTGCAAACAACGGCAAAAGCTACGTCAAAAGGGCATAAAAACGCGAGAATTAGGTCGTCAAGGGACAATTTTTGGAATTTCCGAGATCGAATATCACTTTTATGACAACCATTTTCGAAACCATACGCTGATTGCAATCAAATGTTTGACTAAAATGGACACCAGGCAATTTATCTCAGATGATTGCACAGTAATTTATAAATTCTTCATGCGTTTCCATAATTCGGCATTCTCATGATACAAACACAAGTGGCCATTGTATTCAGCGAAGAACACGGAATGTCGATCCATACTGTTGTGAGCTAAAAAATCGGGGATTAGGAAAACTTTGACAAAAACTAAAAGGAATTTTATGTCAAATGCAATACACCATTTTAAAGCAAAATGAGAGTACGAAAAAATAAAAACTTACACTAGTGCAGTCGTATTTAGTTACATTGCTCGTGTCATAGGTCAGCGGATATAATGGAAATTGATTCTGGATCTGGGTTGGGTAGTCCCACGGGGAATTGTCTCTGAAAACGTTCAAAAATTAAAACATAACTAATCAGAAGCATAACAAGTCAAAGTATCGTTCAGTTTTAGAAGGCTCCCTAGAAGGCAATTCCGAAGAGCGGGGCGCCTGTCCCTTTCGCGCTAGAAAGACTAGACGCTGAGGAGCGTCGCGTCGCTGTCCCTCCCTCGAATAGACTCTAGTTAGTTATTCCCAACAAAAACTAGCGCTACTTAAAGGGCACGTTCAGGGACGTTTTTTGGGAAAAAGCAAAGATTTTTGCCGCGGACGGGGGTCGAACCCGTGCCCCCCGCTTGGGAGGCGCGAATGGATACCAGTCAGCCACAGCTACAACCTGGCGAGGGGATGAGGGGCGCCCCACGCCGCAAAGGAGGGGAATGGCCTGTCACAGCACGGGCAGGCAGTGCGCGCGGTCCCTACGTCCATAGGGTGTACACGTTGGGCCAAGTACACGGCTCCTCCCTGAACGTGCGCTTTAAGTCAATTTAAAATTAAGTAAATACCGTAATCGGTTAAACAAATGTTGATGAAACAAACCTCCAATAATTTGTGTAATTCCCTTGCCAAGACATCCCGATCCACATTCCTTTGGTGTAGGTAGCTCCAGTGCAATTTGTGCGGTTAGCCCAAATATCTATAACAATCAATATGAATCTATTTTAATTAAAAAATTTAGGGGGAACTATTGTAGATTGAAAATTACCCATATGAAACTGATTTTCCTCTTCCGAGTGGATGGAGACGGATTCGAGGCCGAAAAATGGGCACAGGTCGAGGCAGTTCTGAAATGAAGGTTTTAGTCAGTTAAATTAATGCAAACTCTGTCAGAAATTCAAGACAATTGAAAAACCATGCAAACCTGTGAATAGGTGCAATTTCCCAAATTGTAGTAGTTTGTGTTGTTGAACACCCAATCGGGGCTGATTAAAGAAAAATAATGGCTTTTTGACGACAGCTCGATTCATTTGGCTGTCTTAAAGACTTTCATGGGCCCTAAAAGGCAAAATATTATGTTAGTATGTCGTTAAAGTAGTGTTTTTACGATACTCGTTTTTGCGCATGTGACTTTTTACTTACTGGAATCATAATAATTCGTGCAGGTTCTCGGATCCTCGCCTTCTACAGTAGTTTCGTTCGCGTAAAATTCGTACTCGGGATTTCCTGGATTCAAGAGACATGTTGTCGAGCCTAGAAATCGGTAAGCGTGGAAAATAGAAATACAAAATTACCCTACAAATTTGGAAGTAAATCACGAGAAACGAAAATTTTGCGGTTTTTTCTGCCATTCCTAGAGGATTTCTGCTAGCCTGCCCTTGATAAAAATCTCAAGATAAATTAGTATAAAATTACCAAGACTAATGCCGCTGCAATTATTCCTCCAGCATTTCTTGATGCATTGCGTATTTGGAATAGGGGCATCCTGCTTGAGCGGTAGGATTACGGTAGTTGTGATAATATTTATTATACAACGCAACGCAACGCAATTAGCAGATAGAACATTGTGGGGCTAGAGTCGAAAGTCACTTTGTTACCAACAATTGCAAATTTTTCGGCGCACGGCATTAGCTGCCTGACGACCAAAGTGATGTCCATGAGAAGAATGTAGACAAGTGGATAATGCCTGGTTCTATGCACCAAGAAAAGGTTGGCAGATTGTCAAGTAGAGCAAAGCAACGACTAATTGCAAGCCCAATTGCATGCTACAGTCCCGGCGTCGCTTCAACTTCAAAGAAAGCTGAGGTCCACAACCACCTTTTTTCGATTTCCTTGTTTTTCACCATTTATATCAAGTCATTTTTCTTCGTGATTCTGTAAAATGGGTTAATTTATTGAGGGACATATGCAAAAAATCGTGAAAAGGTCGGTAGCAAAGTATAAAATCAATGGTAGAACAAAAACGAAAATGTCCGATGAAGTGAATTCGCCGGATGGAGGCGACACATTGTCGTGTAAAGTAGTAAGCTACTCACAAATAGATAAACCTTGGCCAAATCAGCAAGTTAGCAAGAAAAACTTTTAGAATTTGAGTCAACACATTTCATGGAATTCCGTGCAGTACGACATGCCTGGGAGAGGTCCATTACAATAGGGGAAACAATTGATATCGTCGAATGTCGGTCGATAATAGAAGTTCTAGGTGTTTCCATAGTGCGCCAGCCTTCTCATACAAACACAGGGCGCCAGGGTATTCGTGCTCTTGCAGGCCACGTCATTCCAAACGCCCTTGTTCGTAATCTGGAAATCCGCGTTCTAATGGGCGCCCCAGATTATTGGATTTGAAAAAATAGTTTTCTACAAATTAAATATTACCAAAACAAAAACAGTACCGTAGAGCACAGCTCGTTCGTCCCCTTCCAGACATAATTCAATGGATCTTCTGTGCGCTGACGCCTCAGCTGTGCTGTATAATCCCACGGAGAACCGTCTCTGAGAAACACAAAAAAATTCCCAATTTGAAATTAGATACCTCCAAAAATTAGAATGATTTCCCCTCCATGAGAATCCAATCCACAACCGACCCGTGAATTTTACCGAGCAATTTGCACGGTTTTTCAGAATCCCTGAAAAGTACCTTTTTTCAAGGATTTTTACCCTTAAAATTAGCTTTTCAATTTAGCGCATCTGTATCTAGTCATTAACCGAGCACGGTTTTTTGAAACTTCGTCATTAAATCCTGGATTTTGTTTGTAAAAGCATGCTGTTAAGACACACCCGTAAGATACGTATTTTCATCTTCGGAATGTATCGAAATTGGCTGAAGACCGAGGGTTTTGCAAGTGAGAAGACATGCCTAAAAAACTATAATTTTCCTTAATTTTTTTGTCCCCTTGCTATAGAATATAATGACTAAAAAACACAAGATATGCAATCATTTAAATAAAACAGGTACAAATTTGAAATGTGACCTGTCCCAGCGTACAATTCCCCAGTAGATAGTATTCCGTATTGTTGTGGCTCCACGTCGACGGTACTAACAATGTTTTAAAATTTCCTGAAAATGCGATTAACTTACCTTGATCATAGTAATTACTACAGGTTCCATATTCCGGATAACTTGTCGCAATATTTTTGATAGAAACGCGATATTCCGGGCGGGTTTGATTTAATAGACAACCAGTGGTGCCTGAAAAAAAATGGCAAAGCCGGAATTTCTCGACCTGAAAAATGTTTAAAATTTGGTCTATTTTTGAAAAGATATAATGCATAAGCTTTGCCGATCTCAAAAAAATTTAAAGCCGATACCTTTGCTAATTCCAACGCAATTCTTCTGTAAGCATATCCTCATACAATTCACATTCGGTACGGGGCCATCGTTTAGACGCGTCAGGATGACGGTAGTTGATACAAAAGCGTCTTTCGTAAATAGTGAAATTAAAATTGAAACAATTGGGCTAGACATTCGTCTATTTCTTCTCAAAATCCACTCTTCGTGGGGGTGATTTCAAATTTTATATTTTGCTGGTTGCCAGACTACCGATTTGCCATAATTCCACCTGACCGGTAGTTTCTTAATTTGATGCGATAAGCCCCTAAAAATCTGTCCTTTTCGATCTACATCAAAATTCCGAAAAATCCTTGAACTTTTCGGTAACCAGACTCAAACTTTCAAAAGTCAAAATACCCAGTGATTTCGCGAAATTCGATTCACCTTAAAAAAGGTGAAATTGACATATTACTTGCTACAAATTAACAAATAGATTTATTGATTTTTGTTACAAATTGTTAACGACGAATTTTGATGTTTTTATGGGGTTCCGTAATAGGCCGGGAGACGTCTCTGGCAGAGACAAGCCGACAGTGTATCCCCCTGACACGACAAGTCGTTCCAAATATCGCGATCGATCTGAAAACCCCAATTTGTTGCGAACTATTTATTTTGCCTTCAAATTAAACTGCAAATCTTTTGACTTACCGTAGTACAGTCCTCTTTCTTTCCACCCGCCCACAATCCGACAATCACCGGGTCTTGCCTGTCCAATTGAGCCATGTAATCCCATGGCGAGCCATCCCTAAAGGATTTGGTTGCCCCGCGGCACGCGACGCGCACGCCATTCAAGTCGTGAGGAATTGCGCAATTGTAACGATTTTCAGGTCTTTTTGCTAGTTAAAGGGGCTCGGAAGTCAAAATTCGCCGATACGATACGGGGATCGAACCTACTGATCAAAAACGAAAGACGAAAGGGTCGCGGCAGAAAAGTACTGATAGTATCAAGCGTCGCGAAGCGCTGATAATCCACCACGCAATAAAAAAACAAGTTGACGCGTTGCGTGTCGCGGGCGTGATATTTATAGGTTAGCGGAAATCAAAAAAATCATGAAAATTTCGTTTTCCCCACCTCCAATAATGCGTCTCACTTCCCTCCTCCCCCCTCCACGTCATCCCGATCCACATTTTTGTCGTGAAGCCATTTTCACACCATTCCCGGCCCTCCCAAAGGTCTAAATTGACGAAAAATTAAACCTAACTTTTGATAGTTACCGATGAAGTAATTGTTTTCGGCATCCGAGTGGATTGATACGGACTGCAGTCCTAGTAAATCGCAGGCATCTACGCATTCCTAAATAACTTATTTTATCAAGTTACCAAGGGGCCGGGAATCATTACGTCTTTTTTATGCCAAAATTTTTGCCGACACGCGACGCGCGCATTCCGAGGTATAATCGAATTTCCTTGCCAATCCCTTTAAAAAATGAGAAACCCACAAACCTGGGCCAATGTGCAATTTCCCAGATTATAATAATCAGTGTTGTCGAAGTGGAAGTCTGGCGGAACTGCGGAAAAACTTAAAACATTAAAAGCTCCATGCTAAACCATTATCGTAATAGTTATTGCAGGCCGAACACGGATCAGTTACTGTAGGTTCGTGGGTAATTTCGTATTCTGGCTCCTCTTCGTTTAATAGACAAGTTGTTGAGCCTTGAAATTAATGATTTATCCCTGTAAAAACAAAAAATCCGAAATCCTACCTTGACCGTCCCCTTAAAAATGAATTATTGGTATTTTAGTAACCGACCGAAACCACCAAAAAGTGTCGGCAGGTGTCAATTTCAGTCAGCCTGTTCGGACGGAAGCCTGATAGCGCTCTCCCCCTCCCCTCACCACATGTCATTCTGGCCGAGTGGTCTAAGGCGCTGCGTTCAGGTCGCAGTCCTCTTCGGAGGGCGCAGGTTCGAATCCTGCGGATGACAGACCTTTGCTTTTTGCTTGAAAGGTTCATTGAAACTTGGATTTAGTTTTTGGTAGCTGGTAGGATGTTGTAAAAACGATTTTTAATCCAACCTTGACTAATTCCAGTGCAATCCGATTCCAAGCACTCCTTCATACAAGTGATACTGGGCACAGGGGCATCCTTTTTACGGGTGACGGTTACAGTAGCGGGGCATAGTAATAAGCAGCTAGAAATTGATAGAATCGCTAGGAACATGAATTTTCAATGAGGTTTCTGTCTTTCTGGCCGGAAATCCTATTCGAGTTTTCGTCCACCGGAAGCATTTGTTGCCTGACAACATGACTGTCAGACTTTTAGAAAAGTCGCTGTTTCGCTTTTTCTCGTTCGGCTTAAAAGGTTCCGATTTACGGCGTTTTTTGCGTATGCGACCCAAACCTAAAAATCCACCTTATTCTGTACAGGGTGGGCAAAAAAAAAGTACAGAGTTTGGGTCGAAATAACTCGCGAACGATAGAGAAATCGAAGGGACGTTACCATGCCAGAATGCTTAAAAGGCCGTTCGCGAGGGACTCGACCAACCCTTAATATAGCTTGGGACAGTGGATCGAATCGAATTAGTGGGGTGGCACTATCTCGAGAGTTTAAAATTTAATTTTCGGGGTTAAACGAGGCGCTAAAGTTGCCGACACCAAAAAATTATCTCGAAAGTTACTGGACCAAATCAGTCGAAAATTTGTGACTGGGCCGGATATTGGGTACTGATCATATCTCTAATACATTGCGAAGCTCGAAAATGGCCGCAACATAGGTGTACCGCGTACACAAATTTGTTTTTCCGGAGTTGCCGGAGCCTGCCGTTCGAGCGGGCGATGAGACTAGCATAGTAAGATACGCAATAAAATTCTGCATCGTTTGATGTATCGCTGATGACCCGCCCGTTCGGCAGGAAATTGCTATAAAGCATTTACTGCACCGAAAACCGTCCGAAAAAGCTCAAAAATCGAAAACAGGTCTATTTTGAAAATGTGAAGTATCAAAACACATCTGGAACTCGAGCTGAAGCCATTGAAAAAAGAGCAAAAAGAAATTCGACTTCTGAGAAGATGCTGGTTTCGGGTAGGAATCGAACCAGGACCATCAGCCTGGGAGCCCCTTCCCCCAGTCGTGGTGTATTGCAGTTGCAGGTGCAGGTGCAGCATATTTAAAAATATGCTGGGTATGAAGATTTAACACAACTTGATTTTTTCGGTTTTTGGCGACGTATCAATACAAATGACACCCGAAAAATGTGCTTTCCGCTAGACTTCATTTGCATTTTTCTCAGTTTCCTGTGGTGGCTGTGTTCTAATTTTTATTAAGTAAGTTAATGTGGGCAGCAGAAGTGCACCTGCAAAATTTAAGAATTTATAAGGGTCTGGTTGACAAGTTATAGAGGAATGAAATTTTGTAGGCTGAAATTTCGTAATTTTTCGATATTCAAAAAACTCATGGTGGAAATGTCAGAATAACTAGTTGTAGAATACCTACGGACTATGCACATATTGAAAAAAAATTTCTAGATCGACGAATTTTCGAGTTTTTCAACGACTATTTTTTCTAAGTTTTGAACTACTTTAAAAAAATTAGGCTTAGGTTTGGTAAGAAAGCACGAGTACCGTATTTTAAGTACTCGGCTTGAATTGATCAAGGCAAAAAGTTATTATTTTAATTTAATTTAGAACAATACAATACAGTAAGAAACTTCTTTTTTCCAAGTTTTCATCTAATTTTAAAAAATTGGGCATAGGTTTGGTAAGCAAGCACGAGTACCGTATTTTAAGTATTCGGCTTGAATTTATAAAGGCAGAAAAGAATTGTTTAATTTTTAATGAAAAATCGTTTCTTACTGTATCTTTCTAAGCTTTAAACTACTTTTAAAAAACTGGGCAGAGGTTTGGTAAGAAAACGCGAGTACTGTATTTTAGGCACTCGGCTTGAATTTATCAAGGCAAAAAGGCATTATTTTAATTTAATTTAGAATAACAAAATACAGTAAGAAACGACTTTTTACCTTTACAGTAAGAACCTACCGAGTGAACATCCTCAGAACCAGGCGACCTTGGGCGATGCTCATCTGGTGAATTATGTCGACCTGAGGAAGTGCGTTTTTCCCAAAGTTTTAAATGCACCGCCAGCGGATGGTGATCTCGCGCTTTTGCCACGTTCGTTCGGTAGTAGGTAGGGATCGTCAATTGGCTCTTGAAATAGATTTTTGTACAATTCGATCTCAACACCACATCCCCACAAAACATGGACTCGATGCAGGTTTTTAAAGACGTATACAAGGCATAAAATGTGGGGGACTTTCTAGCTTTTCCGTCCGAAAGCGCAGTAGAGGAATCATTCAAATTTAAATTTGGCTGATTTGCCGCATCTCGTGCTCCCTTTCTTCCCTTTAAACTTACGCCCCAATGTCGTATACACATTCCGCAACGGATCTTCAATTTCGTGTTCAGCCTGGCGCATCGCGTCGGCGAGCCGTTGAATCCTACTATCCTACTATATATAAAAAAATAGTGTCTGTGTGTGTGTGTGCCACTTTGCATACAACTTCCGTCAGCGTGTCCGGACGATATCTCAAGAGTGAAAGGGATGAAGGGGGCGTATGATACGTCATTAGACGCGTAATGGCCTGTAGATGACTGCATGCATATCAGATTTTGCAAATTTGATTATTTTCGACATTAAAATTAAGTTTTTCCTTAAAAATCGGACACACTCTTTGTTAGAGAAAAATTAGCATACGCCGGAAGTGGGAGTAGCCTATATAATCGAGGAGAGGACGCACTTTCCATTTTGTGACATGAAAGTGCGCAAGGGTTATGCAAAGCGAGGGATATCATAGCGTTGGACGGGGCCAGGGTTGAAAAGTCGCGAAGCGGCTTTTCAACCCTGGTATATAAAAAAAAAATAGTGTCTATGTGTTTGTGTGTGTGTCTGTGCCACTTTGCATGCAACTTCCGTCAGGGTGTCCGGAGGATACCTCGAGAGGGAAAGGGTTTTAAGCAACGGATGATACGTCATTAGGTGCGTAATGGCGCTGAGATGACTGCACACACATCAGATTTTGCAAATTATGCTATTTTCGACGTTAAAATTACGTTTTTGTTAGAAAATGGAGCACCCACTTTGCTAGGAATCAATTAGCATATGCTGGAAATGGCGCGAGCCTATATAATGGGCGGAGGAAGAGATTTTCAATTTTTTTGTCATCGGAATTCGCGAGAATGATGCAAAATGAAGCATATTATGACGCTAGACGGGGGCCAGGGTTGAAAAGACGCGAAGCGGCTTGTGAAAAAACCCTGTTCTTGTGAAAATTGTTAGGATTCAACAGCGGCTCTGTAATCTACACACTTTTTCCACGTTAGTTTCGAGGATGTGCGTTTTGCTTTTATGTGACTTTATTTTTTAACACGCGCTCAAATTCCTAAGATAAAATAATAACATAAAATAATTTATCGATGAATCTAATGTTCGCCCCTCGTATGGTCCGACCTATCCGCGATCGGCAGCTGTCGAGGCCACTTATTGACCACATGGAGTGCCGCTTGCCACTTCAAAGGTTTCACAGCTATTTCTTGACGTGCCAACCATGGGGTTAGCTTCTAAAAGCGTCTTTTTATTGGTGTTTTACCAGGGTTGAAAAACCGCTTCGCGGCTTTTCAACCCTGGCCCCGTCTAAAGCGCATGGTAGTCAAAAATACGCATATTCTTCCAGGACCTTGATCGCAAAAAAATCCAAAGAACCCCTTCTGCGCCCCTATATATAGGCTTACCCCACTTCCGGCGCATGCAAATTGCCGCATAACAAAGAGGTTTGTCGATATCCTTACAAAAACTCAATTTTAATAACGAAAAAGGTAATTTTTCCAAACTTTTATGTGGGTGCACTCATCTCGGCGCCATTACGCACCTAATGACGTATCATACGACCCTTAAAAACCTTCCCCTGAGGCTGTAGGTGCGGTACATACTCACGGAAGTTGCATGCAAATATACACACACACAAACACTATTTTTTATATACAGTAGGAGTAGGATCTACAGGATTTCCCAAAAAAAGACGCTCCTTTTAAATTTTTTGAATTATTTGAATGCGCTATTTCACAAGCCACTTTCTAGAAATCTTTATAGAAATTTTTTGAGCTGAAAAACGAGCTAATTTGTCTCAAGTCTTCCAAGCAAAATGGCCGGAAGTAGCCGATAATTGAAAGCAGGCGCCGCTACTTAATGTTTTAAATTCGTTATAAAATGGCATGTTTACACCAGAACACGGTTTTGCAGATTGTTGAAATCTTGCCATTTTAAGGGCTTTCGAATGGTGTAACTGTCATTTCGCTTCGATCCTTCTGCATCAATTTAATTAAAGTCACAAGGGGGTGCTTTTTTGGCACATGCCCTGTACCCACCTGGCAAATTACGCAGCCCCAATTATATATTGCGTTCCTATAAGCCCTCGTTCCCAGTAATATCGATAGGTTGTTGCCCAGCGTGTGCATAGAGCTCCATATCCCAATCAGTCCGACAACTGTATGGTATGATTTTAAAGGGGCTCTGAACTGCCAAATCAAAGCCCTTTTGGGAGGCCTCTTTGATTTCTGGCAAATTGCCAGCGGGCGTTGCGGGACGAGAGCCCTCACTCTTTCGATTTTTGCGCGAAGTTGTTTTTGCCCGGTTTCTTTGTTAAAACAATATAATTCGCACATTCTGACCCCATTTTTGAAATCCTCACTCAATTTTGAATAGTTTTGGTGTTTTAATCATCCAATTTGGCCCAGAAACAGCCGAGAACGTGATTTCGAGGTGACAACAGGCCATTTCAAATTTGCGAGCTTCCCGCGACCCTAGGTGTGCAGAGGCCTCCCACGTAGAGGGCGCCGATTTTCGGGCCGTCACCCAATTTTTGGCATTTCGTAGCCCCTTTAAGATTTTCGGATCGCACAGGATGACACGACTTACCGCGCGCCAGCGCATCGTAGCTGGCGAATTTCAGGAATACCAAGAAAAACAAGGAGTACGGGGTTACCATAAAAAGGACAAAGACCAGCGACTGAAAATGTGGATCTGGACTGTTGATAAAGGGTTCCAAGAAACATCCCGTCCTTTGCGGGTCGGGAGATGAGTCCGTTTTTTACAATGCAGGTATCTAACAAACACTCTCGGACCGGCAAGTCCAGATTGCTAGCTGATTTTGAAATTCCGGAATTGCCGGTGCAGTTTTTGGCATTTTATTCAGAAACTTAAGGATGACAATTTAGCGCATTCTTCAAGAACTCAATTTAGACACCGTCAGCGCGATCAATGCTATGCTTGTTCAATGCCAAAAAAGACGTCTGTCAAAGGTGCAAAAATCCATGGTGGTCTGTGTAAAAAATTTAACAAACATTCCCAAACTTTTGGTTTGCCTTACCAATTTGTGTGTAAATTTAATATGCCTTACGAATCTGTTCACGCGCCTGCGTGAGGGTAAAAAGCGGGGAATTGCTTCGGCTAGCTAAAGGCAGGTACCATTTTTAACCTGTAGAAATAAACATACGCTCTAAAGCGCGGCTAGCTCCCCCTGACCGTGGCCATTACCTGTAAAATGAAGATGACAAAGAAGTGACGGTGCATGCGCCGTGTGCGCAGGCAAAGCGATCGGTTTCGATGGAAAGACAGGTAATTTTGGACGCTCATCGAACAGACATATAGATAGAACACCCAGGCAAGGCACATCACCGTCCCGGCGAACGCCAGGGGAATCAAAAACTTCTGCATGCAGACGAATACATAAATGCCTTCAATACCGCAGAAAATTGGCTCGGAAGCGCATACCTAGAGAAGAGTGGCATGTATCTCTCACTCTCTTACTCTCTGTCTCTCTCACTCTCTCTCTCTCTCTTTCTCTCTCACTCTTTCTCTCTCTTTCTCTCTCTCTTTCGCTCTTTCCCACCTCTTCCGTGGTATAAACGACGCATTCCTCTACATTAGCGTACCAAATCAACGCGATGAGCATGATATTCATAGAAAAGTAGAGCACAACAATCAGCCGCTTTGCTCGCGTATCAAAAGAGTGGCCGGGCTGGGTAATGGATGCCGTTTTTAGTAGTCCAGTGTACAGCACTGCGCAGCAGGATGGCACCTCAGATGCGGCCAGGACCGTCTGAACAGCCAATTTATTTCCAAGTTAAGCCGTGCTTTGGGGGATTACCGCAATCACAGCAATCTGCCGCATGCTGAACGGATAGCTGCTGAGTAGCTTCGCTACCGGATATGGCGCATAGAAGATGGGCTTCAGCAGGGATATGGAGCTGTCGGAAAGCCCGGCGGAGATCTGGCAAAAAAAATTACGAAGGGAAAGGGAATATCGACAAGAATTAAGTGAGATGTCGATGTGAGTGAGATACTACTTACCACCAACACCAACTGTGTAATTTTGTATTCGGTCGTTAGCGGGGCCCTTGGACTGAGAAGAAAGAATACAGTAGGGATTAGGGTGAGGATTCCGAGCGCCCAGAACATGTAATAGTTAACGCCGATGAAGAATTCTTCTTGTTGATCCGGATAAAACATTGGGCATAAACCTGGGCCCAGGCCTAAAAGATATGATGAGAACACGGAAGTGGGATTGCCACGGACCCACGGACAAATTTGTAACTAGTGCGACAGGTGCGTTTCAGGTACAAAGGAAGAGACTATACAGGGTGCCCCAAAAAAAGCACCCCTCCGGCATTTCGCCGCCTTACATCCAATCGGTCCCATACTTTGCACAAGAGTGTATCGGGCCATAAATAACCACAATCCTGAGTTATAGCCCGATCGCTACAGTAGTGGTCAAGTTCTAGCCAAAACACTGTTTTTTTCACGCAATTCTAAACAGTTTTTACGGCTATTTTTTTGGACTTTGAATCGTTTTGCATCGACTTCCGGCTGCGAATCCCTAATTTCGCTTCATATCGGGTGTGTCATTGGATTACAAAAAATGTTGAAATCAACGGTTATCTGATGAATTTTTATCGGGAAAAATTTCTAAGGGTATAGAACGCTTGCCGCTTCATTTTCACTTAATATTCGAATGGTCGATTCCGATGAAAACCTTATGAACAACGGATAATCAGGTTTATTTTGTTGTATCTCGACAATTACAGTAGCTGGCGGGCTATAACTCAGGATTGTGGTTATTTAAGGCCTGATACACCTCTGGTCCAAATTTGGGAACGATCGGATGTAATATGGCGAGCCAAAGGCCCCTCTCGAGGAGCCTTTTGGGGGTGCCTTTGGTGGGGCGGGGGGCGCCATGAGTGGGGCTTTTTTCCGATATGCAGCGATGCAAATTGCGAAAAAACGCTTTTCAGACGACTTTTTGCAATTTACATCGTTGCATACCGGGAAAAAGCCCCACCCACTGCGCTCCCAGGCCCCGACCCATATATAGACGAGACACACCGAGAGATTGCGAGAGAGAGAGAGAGCGAGAGAGAGAGAGAGCGAGAGAGAAAGTTTGCTAATTTGGGCACGGAAGTGCAGGTGGCTAGAACTAGGGAGCTAATAGATGTTTTTGTTTTTTCTTGGGGAACGCATTCCTAAATGACTTTATTTTATTAAATTTTTAAAGAGTGCGGGAAGGTTACTTCTGTATTTTGCGGAACTTTTTGCCGACAGGCAACGGGCGCATCACGTTCGCTTACTAATCCTTTCAAAAATGAGAAACCTGTGCTAACGTGCAATTTCCAAGGTTATAATAACCAGTGTTGTCGAAATGGAAGAAAAACTGAAGCACAATTTTACACAAATTTTCCGCATCAAAACCATACCATTATTGTGATAGTTATTGCAGGCCGAACACGGATCAGTTACTGTAGATCCGTATGTAATTTCGTATTCTGGCTCCGCTTCGTTTAATAGACAAGTTGTTGAGCCTTGAAATAAATGATTGATCCCTGTAATAACTAAAAACCCGAAATCCTGCCTTGCCCGTCCTTTTAAAAATGAATTATTGGCTTTTAGTAACCGACAGAAACTCCACCAAAAATTGTCAACAGGTGTCAATTTCAGTCCGCCTTTTCGGACGGAAGCCTGATAGCGCTCTCCCCCTTCCCTCACCACATGTCATTCTGGCCGAGTGGTCTAAGGCGCTGCGTTCAGGTCGCAGTCCTCTTCGGAGGGCGCAGGTTCGAATCCTGCGGATGACAGATCTTTTGCTTTTTGCTTGAAAGGCTCATAGAAACTTGGATTTAGTTTTTGGTAGCTGGTAGGATGTTCTAAAAAAGATTTTTAATCCAACCTTGACTAATTCCAGTGCAATCCGATTCCAAGCACTCCTTGAGACAAGTGATACTGGGCACAGGGGCATCCTTTTTACGGGTGACGGTTACAGTAGCGGGGCATAGTAATAAGCAGCTAGAAATTGATAGAATCGCTAGGAACATGAATTTTCAATGAGGTTTCTTTCTTTTTGGCCGGAAACCCTATTCGATTTTCATCCACCGGAAGCATTTGTTGCCTGACAACATGACTGTCAGACTTTTAGAAAAGTCGCTGTTTCGCTTTTTCTCGTTCGGCTTAAAAGGTTCCGATTTTCAGCGGGCTTTTTTGCGTCTATGGCCAAAATCCAAAAAATCCACCCTCATCTGTACTTGGTATTTTTCTAAAATGATTTTAGCTTTGCACATACTTCGTGTTTTATCGCGTTTGAGGTTAAAATAATTTTTTCAAACCTGTAAAATCGTGGAAATAAACTTTATCGCGGCAACAAAATTGGCGGATAATTGCTAAAATTCAAAGGAAATATACGGGGATACATTTTGAGGCAAAGCAAGAGCGTCAAAATTGAGGTTGAGCTCATAAAAGATGACAAAATGGCTGAATACGTGGAATTTCTTTGCAGCTCGGTGCCGATAAACATGAAATACATTCGCAGCTCGGATAACTAAAAATAGGATTGATGCCATTTTTCATTCTTAAAGGGGCTCCGAAATCTGGTCCACGGCCCCCAGCTGTGATTCCTGGCAAATAGCCAGATGCTGCCGCAACGCGCCCGCGTCGCATGAACACTTGCCCCTGTTTGGGCGCGAAAACGCTTGAATTTCAAAATTCTGATGCTGTTTTTGGAAGCATCAACGAATTTTGATCATTCTAGACTTTTCAATTATGAAAATTGATTAGAGAATCACCGAGATCGGGAGATTGGGTGCCTTACATGGCATTACGACATGTAACCGCCGCGCACGCAAAAAGTCGTTTTCGCCCCGAGGACTTTTCGGTAACTTAAATATTTTACGTTTTTTTCGCAATCAAATCCCTTCTCTGGCACTTCTCGGCAGTGGCCCTTTCGTGTTTTGACCCGTAGGTTCAATCCCAGGACGCACTAATTTTGACTTCGGAGCCCCTTTAAGCCTTTCTCCGGCTCACCAGATAAGCGGGGTAAAGCAGCGTGAAAGCAAATAATCGTCTCCTCAATCCAATAATCGATAAAGTAAGCGAAGTGACGGCCAATCCAACCCAAATTATCTCAATCCCAATCAATCCATAGAACATCCAATTTCCCGTTTCGAAATCGTCAAGAATCGTCGACCTGGAAGTCAAAAAAGCAATTTATAAAGGATCCGATTTTTCACAAACGACTATTTTTTAGTTAATACAAAGTATAGAAAAAACAAGGTGGACCATTTTCGACATTTCCGATTTTTCTCTTATACAACACTATTTTTTTGCCAGGGTAAATAATTAAGTCGATTTTTGAGTTTTTTTAATAACCAAATCAATGTGACTTACTCTCTCAAATATCCACAGTAATTCAGCACCGACGTGACAATTTCGATAAATTGCCCGCAAAGGTGGGCGCCGGCTAGAATTACATAAATTTTCATAAAATGTTGATCAAGAATCTGGTACATCTATTTCTGAAATAAACAAAATTCAAATTAAATACACCATAAAATCAATAATTCATCGATTGAAAATCGTAAAAATTAAATTTACAACAGCAAATCTTTTATTTCCATGAAATATCGTTATAACGTCTTAGCGGATTTACTGGTAGACAGTCGGGCGATAGCTCAAATTTTGGGCAAAAATAGCCCGATACCGTAGCCAGGATACGGTAAGGGAGGCGATATTTGTGACAGCGATCAGGGTCGAAAGGCAAAACGCCCAAAGGGAGCCACGGATCAGCTCGTTGCCCAGCAGGAAAAATGACAGTCGAAGTTCGGTTAACTGAAACAATTAATTGTATTTTTCATAATTTTTTAGGGCTGGCTAGCAGCGATTATTTCCGAAAAGTAAATTTATAAGGATTTCATTGCGTAATTGATTTTGGAAAAATTTCAAGGTAAGCAGAGCTTTTGGCAGATTTTTCGAGAGCTGCAATGATTTTAAAGTCGATTGACAAATTCTAAGCTCACCAAGCTTAAAGGATATACGATCGCGAGGCTAAATATCGTTCTCCTTATCCCGACAATTGTGAAAGCGAGTGCTGTGATATTGAGAGCTACCATTAAGGCTTGAACACTCTGCGATCCATAGAAAAGAGAACGGTCCACAGCAAATTCACTCAATGCTGACGGCCTGCAAAGCGCAGCTTTTTCTTAGACGTAGAAACGCTTAATAGTCCCTAAAAATCTGTAAATTGCTATTAACATTTAAAGGCCCCAATTGTAATTGATTGTCACCAAGGCCAATTTAAAAGTTGATCTAAAATTGCCCTAAACATTATCAATATTCACCTACTGATGAATAAATCCCTCCCATTGCAATATTGTAAAAATAATTTCTGCGATCCCCGCAAGAGAATGGCCAATCGACAGGGTCAGAAAGATTGGCCAAAAATATCGATCGACAACCGATGAAGCCCAGCTTTTCATCGCCTAAAATTCTTCTTAACTTTACCACGTTAAAATATGATCGAAATCACATTGTTTTCCAATTAATTTCAGTACAAACAACTTTAGCTAAGATTTTATCGACAGAAGAACAACAATTAGAAAGGCATTTTTAGACGAAAAAAGATAATGAGATCATTTTCTATCAATAGCCTGTCGCGTGTTATATTCTGGACATTGAAAAATGCTGCGAAATATTCGAATTGCGAGGAAAAGCTTGTAAATAACATTTTCGATAACAAAAGACACAAATTGTTGCGACAATCAATAGAAGACAAGATAAAAGGGTGGCTAGATCATTTTCGGAAACGACACTATCTTGTAGTTCATCGACGAAGGCTCGAATATCGAGAATCTGAAAGAAATACTCAGGAGTTTCACGGTCTGTTTTCTCGTAAAGTATCTGGGTTTTTCAAACATGGGCTTTCCTAAAAGATCTCTGCTAGTTTGCCTACCTTCTCTGAACTCTGAAATATTTCCACAAGATCTCTGCTAGCTTGCCCTCACCCGTAAAATTTTATCGCCAGATTTTGGATTTGAATAACTTCTGCTAGCTTGCTTCCAAAAGATTTAAAGACCGTCAGAACGATCAAAATTTCGTGAAAAGCAAGAAGTTGCGCACCGGGCGGGGGTCGAACCCGCGATGGTCCGTTCCACAGTCCGACGCGCTAACCACTATACCACAGGTCCGAGTGGGGAAAGGAGTCAGAGGCGCCCCAAACCCCAGAGGCTCTTTGCCCAGTACGGGGTGCCACTAATGACGCCGCTCTCTGCGCGTTCTTGGGGGGCGCACCCTCGGGGTGACAGTGTGCGTTCAAGAGTTCTAGCAGCCTTTAATAAGGTTTTTTGTTGGCCCGCCTCTAGGTTTTCTAGCTTCCTAAAGAATCTCTGCTAGCCTGTCCACCGTTTTTCAGTTTTCAAAAAATCTCTGCTAGACTGCCTAATGCTCGGCGATCTTTTTTTCTGACACGTTTATTTTAAATAACATACGATTAATGCAGGATGCGCGATAGCCATAGACCGTATTCCCCTTCTCCTTCCAATCACCGATAATACAAGTGCTGTTATTTCGAGTGATATCCATGCAATTCCATATAAACTAACAGCCACCAATACTGGCAGTGTCATTCGTTTTTGCGGAAGCCCGTTTACGCCCATCGATCCACTAAAAAAAAAGCTAAAATAAGCCTTTAAGGAATTTAAATAGATGTCGTAACCGGATTGATTCGATTGCGACAGGAAATTCCGGCTAAGTTATGGAATTTTGAATGTTTTTAACCCAAAAAGATAAACTGGCTGCCAGAGAATCGATTACGACATGTAATTTACACGAAAAGGGATGGGAAATTTCCTGCCGCAATCGGATAGATTCGATTATCGCGTGAAGGGCGGGAAAAGTAGGTTTTTCAAATTTTTTTTAATTGAAAAATTAAACTGGTAAACAGGCAAAAGATTACGTCATGAAATTCACCAAAAATCTTGCAAATTACCCCTTATAAATAGCATTATAATATTCGTAGACGAGCAAAAAACAGCACAGTGCCACGATAGAGAAATGGATGGCAGCAGTCAGGTAGTAAATTCGCTAAGAATGGAATTTTTTAGCGTCAAATTTGTCTTCCGAACCTGCCACCATACTGACACCATGTCATAAATGTCAGCTCAGCATTAGCATTTATTTTTGACCAATACAGGGTGTCCCACTAAAAAACACCCCTTCTAGCTCGGCGCAGAAGTATCGGAACAGAATGTTAGTTACACCATTCGGCCAGTTTGCAACAACTTTCAAAACCATCTTTTTATTCAAACGCGCCATTTCACAACGTATTTAGAAAAAGCAAGGAACGGTTTTTGCATCTAATTGACGGCCATTTGCCGGCCATTTTGTATGGAGAATTTGAGGCAATTAGCGCGGATGCAACCCCGAAAAGCGTTAAAACCTTACAAAATGGCTTGTAAAATGGCGCATCTAAATAAAAACCTGGTTTTGAAGAGTGTTGCAAGCTGGCGGTTTCAAGGGCTTTCGAAGGGTGTAACTATCATTCCGATCCGATACTCCTGCATTGAGTTAGAGGGGGTGTTTTTTTCATTGGGAGACCCTGTAAACCCGCTGAAAATCTGCAAAAATAAGGTTGCAAATCAATTTTCAGCATTATACAACGCCATGTAAACCAGGGGACATCCGAAAATCCCGGGAATACAAGCAAAAAAGAGCAGCACTTTTATGCAAATTGGTACATTACCGAGATCACAGATGAGGGATGCGCCAGAATTAGAATTCGGGGCGGAAATCACAGGTCCAATCATAAATCGATTACATCGGAAGACATGCGGAAATTTAATCCGATAAAATGGCCACCCAGGCGTCAGACCAAGCCTTATTAGTCGAATCGATTACGTCATGGAAAGCTGACGCTGAGGGCATGCTAGCAGTGAACTTTGAAAAGACTCAGGAATTGATTACGACATGAAAAATGATCAAACGCAGACAGCTGGCAGGGTCGATTGGCGGCGTTATTGCGTTTATTGGCAATGCTGGTTCCCTTTGCTTACGACATGAAAACATTGCAACTAGGCTACCTAGCAGAGATCTTAGCGGGAATTCCTAAAGGATCCCTGCTAGCTAGCCGCATGTATATCAAAAACAATCGATTACAACATGTTCACACTGAAACGGGACCAGCGAGCAAAGATCCTTAGTGGAAATACCCAAATGATCCCTGCTAGCTGTCCCACTGTCTAAAGAAATCAATTACGCATGAGACCCTTGAAATGAGGCCAGCTAACAGAGATCATTAATGGAAATTCCTAAATGATCGCCGCCAGTTGAGAACGATACATTACGACATCAAAAACATGTTAAACGGCCAAATATCATTTAAGGGGGGCTAGCAGATATCTTGCGGGAAATTCCCAAAAATCTACGCTAGTTAGCTATCCCCCATGTCTAAAAAGAGCTTCTCCTCCTCCCACTTCTCCCCCTGCTACCTCCAATATTCCCTATTCTAAACAATGCCCAGGGGCGTGGGGGTGATGGTCGAAAAGTATGTTTGTCAATCTTTCAAAATAACACAAGTAGAACTCCAGTTAATATCAACATATACATTCCTAGCCAAATCGCCGCCGCATCTGCACTAATGACACCCTGTTGTACCAGCTCCGTGTAGTAACGGATGTTGATACCCTGCAAAAATCATTAAGAACTAATTTTTAGGGTTTCGAAGTGTTCCTAATTTTTTTTAACGGGTACCGTAGCTGGCCATTGGTTTTTGCGATTTTGTTGGATTTTTTACGTCCGACTTAATTTTTAGTTAAATTGTACAAAGAAAGCTAATGCAAAAAATGGGCACAGTGTGCGGCAAGGCAGGCGGAGCAGAGAAGAATTATGAAAATTTTAGAACTAATACCGGTTGATGCTCATCCAACCGAGCCTTCCTGATCCCTTTACGATGTCCAAGAAGCAAAATTTCTTGGCCTCCGATCCGGTGTATTGATTAAGTGATTGCCTCCGGGCGGGCAGATGTCTTTCGAGCGATTTGGTTGTGCGAAAGCATGCCGTAATGACGTTTGCAAGGCATAAATTTCCTGACCACACTCTATTGATGCTCTTCATCGATTTGAGTGCATGGCTTTTTATGGCTTTTATTATTTAAGCATTTATAGTGTCTCATTTTCTCTTTTTCCAGGCGCGTTTCTTCACGCCAATTTCCCAAAAATTTTCAAAAATTTCAGGCTATGAACTTCCTTGGTTACCCTGTCGTCATACAAGAACATATCCTTCGAAAGCTGGCTGTCATCGACTTCCTCAAAGCAGCTTCAACATGCAGCGAAATGCTGGAGCTGGCCAAAGATTGCGGCGGCAAGAAATGGGGAATCGGGATTATGGAAGATGATAGAGGAACCGGATACTACAGCTTTCATGGGCTAGGGAACAAAAAGCCCAAGCCAAACAAAAATAAATACACGAAAAATATGGATATTCTGAAGGTGATCGCTCATAACGCAACCGTTTCGGAGATGCTGCTTGTCAGCCCATTTCCGGAAGATATCGATGTCCGAAGCCAACGGCTGACACTATGGTACGATGCCGACGACCCGCTTTCAGTTTTAAAGCGCCATAAGCCGACAGAACGGTACGAGTACATCTCCACGAACATATTCTCTTCACCGAGCCCCCAAATCCTAACATGGCTCAATGAAAACGCGAACAGTTGCGACCTATGGATTGAGGGCCCGCAATCGGCTTATATCCCCTTGAAGCAGCCGAACCTGTGGTTCTTTACAGACACCCACTTTGACGAAGCAGCTGAAGAATTCATGCAAACCATGATAAACGAGTGGCTCCGAGGCGAGAGGCGAATTCAGATGATTGACACTATTTACGATCGGGATCGCGGCGCCCCGCACCCACCCTTGGACCGAGGGTTTTATGCGCGGTTCCCGAAACTTGAAATCCCGAAGGAACGTGAATCCGAGACCTGGTACCGCATCAAGCGACCTGACCACGAGCTGCTCATTGTGAAATTCATCACGTTCGGCCCGCAAATGGCGACGCTCTGCTCCCCAAGCGAGGCGTCTCGACAGTCTGAGGACAGCCGGTTCGAGGCGTTTGCGTTTGGGCGAGCGTAGAGATATAATAGCAAATAAATCCTTTTGTTGCGAAAATTCTGCTAAAAACACGCATTCATCAATGGCGACTGTTAGGTAGTAGATTCGCTAAAAGAAGACTTTGCATTATAAAATTTGTCTTCCATAGCAGCCACCATGTGGGCACTATTTTATGCATATCAACTTAGCATAATCATCTGTTTTTAACCAATATAACCGCTGAAACTAGGGTTGTTATCCTACTATATGGAAAAAAGTAGTGTCTGTGGACTCTTTGCATAAATGACTCGAAAAAACCGGGTTACGAAGATATCGCGAAGGGGGGAGGGTTTTCGGGCCTAGTCGAAAGGTTTTTAGGGGTATTCGAGAGCGTAGATTACTACACGCTTATCAGATTTTTAAGAAAATGATGATTTTTTACCTTATTTTAGTGTTTTTAAAACATATGGAAATGCCCTCATTTGCATACGAGGCGCTAGGAGCCTTATTTTGGATTTTGTCACGCTCTCAGTCGCTTTTGTGATTATTAAGGTTGAGAGGTTGGCACTAATTCGCTAGAATTACGCAAAGTGCCCAACGTCTTAAGATCACCGCGAAAGGCCAGGGGTGAACAGCCGCGTAGCGTTTTTGACCCCCGCTCTGACCCTATGTCTGACCGGGCTTCACGGCCCGGCAGGCCTGCAGAGCGTTAAAAAAGAACGTAAAATAGTCGCATTTATGCCAATTTTATGCGGTTTCGGAGATCACAAGGTGATTATGTCTTGGCCGGAAACTTTAGGCCGATTGCGGAATTGATTGATGGGGAAGAAGGGAGTTAATTTAAGCCGATCAGATGACCGCCTAGGCCGCGCTGCAAATTTCCACAAGATCGATTACGTCATGAAAAAAATAAACAGGAAGGGCCAGGAGAGCAGGAAATCTCGGGGAAAAATATCACCGTTCTAAAAGAGTCACGACATGAAAACAGAACCTGATTAGACGGGCTAGCAGAGACCATTTTCAATCAAAACAATTGATTACACTATGATAATATTTTTGACAGGAGGACAGCTAGCAGAGAATCATAACCATAATTCTGAAAGAATCTCGGCTAGCTAGCCCTCTGGCCTAAAAAGAGCTCCTTCTCCTCCCGCTCCTGCTCCTCACCCCAATATCCCCCATTCTAAACAATGCCCATGGGGGTGGGGGTAGTGGTCGAAAAGTATGTTCATGAATTTTCCAAAATAATACAAGTATAACTCCAGTTAATATCAACATATACATTCCTAGCCAAATCGAGGCAGCGTTTGTACAAATGACACCCTGTTGCACCAGCCCCATGTGGTAAAGGATGTTGATACCCTGCAAAATCGGATTTTCACAGTTCAAAACACCTTAAATCAATTATTTAAATCCCACATTAAACCAAAAGCAATTAAAAATAGTTAAAATTGAAGAATTAAACTTTGAACGATTTGTAAATGTAATTTTGCAATTTTTAGAAAATCGAAATAAAATTTATTTTTGAATCAGTGAATTTTCCAATTACACAAATTAAACTAGATAAAAATTTTAATGGGATAACCTTGTCTCACAATGAAAGTTAAGCTTAATAAATTAAAATTTCTTTTAATTTTAATTTTTGTAAAAATATTTTTTGCCTTTGAAAAATTAAGTGTACCATTTTGGATGTCAATCTATTTTTTGGAATTCCCTAAGAATTTCTGTTAGCCTGCCACTCACCACATAACTCGGAAAAGCAATCGAAAGCATGGAGATTCTCAGCCTTAACCCGGCTACCGTAATCCCAAACGCCAGCAACGTCAATAGTATCGATATGGAATAGTAGAAATTCAGGCCGACGAATAGGCCGACCGTCATTCCGGTGCCGTTCGTTCCGCTAAACTTACGATATCAATTTTATAATTACCGTAGTTCTAGTAAAAAAATTAAATTGTACAAAAATACCGTAATTCATTGAGGAACATCACATCCAAATAGACATATCCATAAACGTCTGTGCAAAAATTTATAAAAGAAGCCACGCAAAATAAAATCTAAAATTTAATGTTAGCGTAATTTAATTGAATTTGCTTGTATTTAATTTTATAAAAGCGAACCTGGCATAGTCGAATTCGCGAAAAGCGCATTATTCACGCCTTTGGCCTAGAAGAAGTCTTATCAGAAAATCATGGAGGCGCTAGGGTCCTGGCCATAATTTGTGATGGTTGGTTGGCACCCAACAAAAATATAGCAGATTTCCGGTGGAAACAGACCGTTTTGGCGGGCGGACGAACAGAGATTTTTGCGGAATCCCCGCTACCGTTCAATTAATAAACCTTTCGCTATTATAGGGGTTAAAAGTCAATTTTCATATTTTCAAAAACCTTTTAGTATTGAGAAGATTTATGAGATCGTTGTTTATTTGAGCGTAAATTAGCATTGTCGTGATTTCGGCTAAAAACAGAATTCAAATATTTATGCTTAAAACTAGAGTAAATGGTCACAAAGGGTAATATGCGAAAAATACGTACAATTTTAAAGAAATGGCAAAATATTAAACTTTAAATGAAAAGATTTCTTTTTTCTGCGTCTTTTTCGGTTCCGGAAATACCAATAAAGAAGCTGGCCGATAATCGGGAAATATTTCACCAAAAACATATTTTGCACGAACGATGTAAATCGAAAAGGTTAGGCCAGTCAATAAAAACATGGCCAACCCAAGCCAGAAAAAGGAATTCAAATCTTCTTCGAGGCCGGTGACCGCCATATCGAACCATGTCAACAGTTGAACGCCCTGAAAATTAGGAAAATAATTTTCAAACTACAAAAATCATCTTTTGACCATATAATTTTGTATCTACTTATGGCTTATGGCTTCAATTTAAACAAAATAAAAAACACGAAAAAATCAAAATGATGCCGGACATCAATTGCAATTTTAAGATTTCAACTGGCAGCCACAGATTAATTACCTAGTGAATATCACGAATGGTTATCAAAATTATAGAAACGCACCAAATAAATAATATAAGCCATGGCGAGCCCTCGAATCCTCCGCCGGAATCCTATCCATGTCAAAACGGCTGCCGTGCAGTAGAGAAGAACCCCAGAAATTACCATGCTAAAAATTAACATTTTACGTAGTTTTTAAATTTCTAAGACTTACCAATACATAGCGATTAACAGCGGAAGTGAAACATTTAATTTCGATTTTTGGAAGCCATTTTTCCTGAAATATCGGGGTTTTTTTTGAATGGACGGGCAAGGGTTTGTTATGGATTCTATTGGCTTCAGATTTTTCTGGATTTTGTGAGGCACACCGCGATATGCAACGCGGCAAGTGGCGACACGCGACACGACACGCAACTTGACACGGAACGCGATACGTAGCGCGATACGCAAAGCGATGAAAGCGAGCGATGAAGACTCTCTACGGTGGCCAGCAGCGCAAGCGTTGTGTGTCACGACCCGAAAAAACCGCTAGAAATCCATAGCCAAAAAAGGGTAACCACGCCTTGCCAATCCCTTAAAACTCATCACTTTTTCTATCGTACCCATGATCAGAAAATCCACGATAATACTCGATGCCCATCACCAGATCGGAGACGACGAGGAGGATGAAATGGACCGGGAGTAGACCGTAACAGGCATACTGTAATTGCATTTTTAGAGAACATTGTAGTTGAAGTTTTATTTTTAATGATTCTGGAATTCAAAAACATACTAACCTTCAAAAACGCACCTCTAGAAATTCGAAAATTCATCGAATAATTCAAGATTGCTTGGGTAAAATTCGTCAATAGGTGCCAAAGGAATAGCTCGCCTAATCAGCTGGCATCAGCTTCAAATCGGCTTATTTATGGCAAGCACAATTTTACGGCTACAAACCACCTACAAAAACTGAGTGCCAATCGGAACTTGACTGGGGTAATGACGAAACTCGGAAAAATTATTACCGGAACACAAGCAAGAGCAAGCCGATCAGAGGTGTTATTCTCCGGGCGAGGGCGGTGGGGATGCACCGAGGCACTGCAATGATTTTTAATCATCGGTGACTTGCATCAAACTGACATTATTCCAGCTACCGGTTAGCCAGGGCTGGTTACGCTGGATCCGAATCGGATTCGGTCCGGTTCGGGGGGTTCGTCCGGTCCGTGGTTGACCGAGGGGTTCAGATTTGCTAGGCAAAGCGGAATAGAAACATGCAATTTCAGCAGGCAAAAGAGTGGCGCGCCAAAACAAGACGCAGTGTGGAATTCGCTCTATAAAAATGTTTAAAATGATTCATTCCCATTAAAGCTTTGGCGAAAGCGACGGATAGTAGTCCAGCTGTATGTCAAAATGTCACAATCTTGGAAAATAGCGTTGCATACAAATTTTCCATATCTGGTATCTGAATCTTGCCTCTTTGGATTCGGACCGGACCCTATAGACCGGATCTTCTCGGACCGAACGGACCGGACCGGACCCAGGATCCATGGACCGGACCAAATTGACTGTTAGCTATTAGCCCCGCGGGCACGCAGGTGTAGTTTGGAAAGTTCTACATTAGTGTTTGCCGATGTCCTTTGCGATCGATCAATTACTTCTCCCGTCAGAACGCACACATTCACGTTATGACCATTGCTAGCTTATCAGTGTACCCAGGATCTTCATCCCTTTCTCTCTCACGATCGCTCTCTCTCCCTCTCTCTCTTTCCTTCGCTCTCTGGCTCATGCATGGCCTATTTATCCTATTGAATTCCAGGTGATGGAGATCTTCAGCGAGTTTCCACTGGTTATCCAGCACAACATCCTCCGCCACATGGACATGCGCAGCTTCTTCAAGACGGCTATTACAAGCAAGAAGATGATGGAAATAGCCAAAACTTGCCGTGACAAATATTGGCATGTCGGCCTTTACGGGGACCCGCAAGCCGAAAATTGGTCGGTAGGCGAAGCTGGCCCCAAGGAGCTACTAATCGAAAGCCCCAGCACTATCGAACTTCTTTTCCATGGTGCTACCGTCAAACATCTAACGGTACACCGAGAGACCACCAAACTATTCAAAGAGTTCGATATCCGCTGCGAGTGTTTGATGTCCTATCGCGACTACGGCGACAATGCCAATGGCTTGCTCGCTGATCTAAGACGTCACAAACCAGCCGGACAAAAATATCACGCGATTACCGTGTTGGCGATACCGCCAAGCATCGAATTGCTCGAATGGCTAAACCGAAACGTCGCAGATCTGTTTGCAATGATTAGTGCGCCCATCCCAGAATACATTCGCTTGAAGGTGCCTAGGATGAGCTTGACAAGCATTCAGGCTTCCGACGACCCGGGCTATGAAAAGTACGCGCAGATCCTGGTGATGGAATGGTTGGCGGGGACACGTGAGATCCGTCATGTCCAGATATACCATTCCAAATACCACAATGGCCTTGCCGGCTTTCGCCAACGCGCGTTCCCCGCGCCCTTCCAGAAACTGGGCGAGGATGAGGAAAACGCATACTATTACGTAAAGCGTGAAGATCGCCGCGTGCTGCGTATGCACGTATTTTACAACGATCAGACGATCATCTTCACGCATTCCAACTTTACAAGCAATGAGATTTTACTTGGGAATGGAATGTAAAAAGAGCCGAATTTCGAGAATTTGTTTTGGCTGTTTTTGTGGAATAAACGTTAAGTTCAAGAATTCTCATGGAAATGCGCGCAATATTCGAGATTCTGATCCAATTTCAAGGGAACCTTCTAGGATCTCTTGTGTACAGGCCCGTAGCGGAACCGAAATTTCGGGGGCCAAAAAATTTTGGCGACCTCCCCCCCCCGGTCACCATTTTTAAAACATCCGAAAATCGCGTCAATAATAGCGCCGCAGGCAAAAAAAATAGCAAAAAAGCGTTCGCTACACTCAAATTCGTGTGAAAACAAGGCAGAAAACGCGCTGCAGGCGAAACTTTTTTATGAACAATTGATTCACCAATGAAAAACCAGCGCCGCAGGCAAAAAATTTTGAAAAAATAGGCTTCATATAAGTAAAAACTGTTTGAAAAACAGTAATAAACAGCGCCGCAGGCAGAAAAATTTTTGTAACTAAAAATCATAAGGGTCCCCCCCCCCTTATGAATTTTTCAGACCTTGACCGATTTCAGGAGACCAGGGCCCCTGGGGCCCCCTCCTACGGGCCTGCTTGTGTATCTTGTGCAGAATTTTTTGCTGATTCCAAATATATTTTCAAAAACTGCAGCATAGTTCTGGCTAAAAAGTTATAATATTTATAGGTTCGTTGTGAGCGCGCATAGAGCGTGCGTTATGAGTAGTGATTTTGCGCGATGTACTAATTTATTGTCATACCACCCCGGGGGGTAGCCAGAAAAAAATTTCGGGTGTTGTTAGGGGGATCCACTGACCAAGGCCACGATTTTGATCTAGAGCTGGGTCCGGTTGTCCGGCAGCAAAATGGCAGCTCAGCCGATGGGACCCAGGTAAGGCACCCAGATCTAGGTCAAAATCGCGACCTTGGTCGGTCCGTCCGTTGTTAGGCGATTAATTTTGGCATCATTAATGAGCCCAAAATAGCCAAGAATGGTACAGCAATAACTCCATGGAGAAGTGATGGATCGGGATGATCGATATAGCGATGGAAAGCCCAGAGTAGGGAGAATACAGGGCGATGTGAAGCACCACTCATCACTCAAGACGAGGCACCAATAGTTCCCTGCTGGAACCATCTGTTCGTTGCCTATAAAAGAGCCAGAATTGCGGGATTCTCATTCCTCATTCCTCATTACAACCATGCTCTCGATCCTGAAATGCGATATCCCGACTGTACTGCCCGCCGACTACGTGGTGATCGCGACCAGGGTTGGTCACGCTGGATCCTAATCGGATCCGGTCCGGTCCGGGGGGTCGGTCTGGTCCGGTCCGGTCCGAAATTTCCATCCGGACCGGACCGGACCGGACCGGACCGGACCTGTCCGGTCCGTGGCGGACCGAGGGGCTTTGATTTGCTAGGAGAAACGGAAATGCAACATGCAAATTCGGAATGCAAAAGAGTGGCGTAACAAAAAATGACGCAATGTGGAATTCGCTTAATCAAAATGTATAAAATTACTCATTCCCGATTAATTTTTGGCTATATACGCGACGGATAGTAGCATAGATGTGGAAAAATCTGTCAAATTCCTCGCGAGTAGTATTTTGCATACAAAATTTTCCATATCTGGCTCCTGAATCATGTCCCTTCGTGTTCAGACGGACCGGACCGGTCCGGTCCGGTCCGGTCCGGTCCGGTCCGAAATTCTCGGATCCACTCGGACCGATCCGGACCGGACCGGACCGCGGACCGTCCGCGGACCGGATCCTTTGTGACCAACCCTGATCGCGACCGATAAATTCCTAAAGGCCGGTAGGATTACCTCTTGTTTGGCACTGATTTCTGTTGTAGGGGCAGGCCTAAACGAGGTCCTGACAACCGCCGGTGGAAAGAAATTGCTGGCTAGAAAAGAAAAGGGCTTCAAGAAATTTTGTCGCCTATCGGGTCAGGCAGCCTTGGAGTCGGGAGATTTCCTTCTGACCAAGGGGTCCAAACTAACCAAAAAAGGTGCTTTGCGTAAGGTCTTTTATGCTCGTTTAGGCATCATATATATCCATGCGCCCACATGTGATCCAAAAAGCCATGCGCGTTACATCGCAGACTTAAGGAGATGTTACCGCACGGTGATGTATTCAGTTAGCCCTGTGCACAAATTTAGCATGGTGAGTGGTAACGGCGTAAGCAGCGCACATAACCTGTTCAGGTGATACCAATTTTGGCCGTTAAACATGGCCAGCTCTCTTCCGGGCTGCCTGTGCTGATCGGAATCAAGGAAATTCTGGAATCGATGAATATCAGGAAGAACCGGCAAAAGGTGCGTATCAGGATAGCTCATTGAGTTTCTGCGTAGGTACACATCAAACTGGCGCTGATGAACCCTGAGATTCCGGCGGAACTGGCGCCGTTCCAGAATGTGGAGATGTGTGATGATGATCAAATCTTTGCTGCCCTACAACTTGTCGAAGCAGCCATCAATGAAACTTCGCGACCCCCGGCTGTTCCTCGGTAAACGTCAAGAGGCTATTTCACATTCAGTGAGCGTTTTGTAGATGCGCCCTTCGCAAAATCACGCAGTTTTCACGGGCCGCTCCAGTTTCCACAGACTTCACACTGGGTCATGTCGTCGAGGATTCGGGCCCGGTTCTTGACAGTTCCCGGGAAGGCAGCAGTTCCCGGCCTCGCCCAGATTGCTCTGATCATATTGATCAGCGAGACGGCTTCGACTTCGCCGCGTTGCCAACAATAGTCCAGCACAATATTCTTCGGCATATGGACATTCAAAACTTCTTCAAGACAGCGATCACAAGTAAGAAAATGATGGAAACGGCGAGGGATTGCCGAGACAAATACAGGGTGTGCAAAAAAAAAAAGGACACAGTTTGGGTCGAAATAACTCGCGAACGGTAGAGAATCGAAGGTACGTTACCATGCCAGAATGCTTAAATATGCTGGGTATGAAGATTTAACACAACTTGATTTTTTCGATTTTTGGCTACGTACCCATACAATTGACACCCGAAAACTGTGCGTTCGGGGGAAACTTCATTTGTATTTTTCTGAGTTTCCTGTGGTGGCTGGCATCTAATTTTTATTAAGTAAGTTAATATAAGCAGTAGATATGTACCTACAAAATTTAAGAATTTTTGAGGGTCTGGTTGAAAAGTTAGAGAGGAATGAAATTTTGTATGGAGAAATTTCGTAAATTTTTAATATTGAAAAAACCTATGGCGAAAACCTCAAAATCGGTTGTTGTGGAATACCTACGAGCCATTTACAATCGCATAAAAATTGTAAAAAAGTTTTTGAGATCGATGAATTTTCGCGTTTTTCAACGACCCCCTGGTCATGGATTTTTCGAGGTCTCGAAACCGGACTTTGGAAAAATATTTCTAGATTGCCAAAGGGGACTGAGCTGTTTTCTTTGCTTAACTATGTAGGACTGGGGTTTATCTATCATTTACAAAATTTCTATCTACCGTACCTCTTTGGAAGGGCGTCTTTTAGGGCCTCCAAAACGGTTGGTTCGTGCTTTTTTCCGAACCTTGTCACCATTTTATAAAATTTGGTCGCGCTGTGAAAATTATTGTTTTATTTTTATCTGATACCGGTTGAATAGCGCATCCTAAAGCCTTATTCATGAATTTTTCTAACCAGCCGTTGGCGCCAAGAAAATTCATCAAAACCCGAAATAAACCGAATACGAGGTTGCGTAAAAAAATTTTGGAAGGTGGAGTCGTAGGGATATTTTGAGCAATAATTCAGTGCTATCAGTTGAATAAAACTATGCAAAGTTTAAAGCAATTTCAGGTCGCAAAAATTTTGAGAAGATTTCTAAACTTCGATTTTGGAATAGGGTGATCTTCGATTTTGAACTGAAATTCACCATAATTTTGAAACAGATTGCTCCGGAATTCGACGAGCGCAAATAAAAACATCAAATCTTTAATCGTAGCCATAATATCCAGGTGGGTTTTTTATTTTTAAAATTTCGAAAATTGACCCGGCTTCTCGTACCAAAAATCGGCTCTCTGGCCTTGTTTTGCACTTGGCCTCGTAACATTGTTATTTACCACTAAAAATCAGTAATTTTTCACAGGTTATCTTACAATCACCTCTAGAAGGCCCTCGAATAGAAAAATCGTCACTTTATGGAATTTTGTGATGGCATGCTAAAACGCGCTCCACGTGGGTTACTGTAGAAAACCGAAATTTGCGATTTTCGTGGTGTTTTTGCCATGGAATCGCTTCGATCTTTTTGTAAAAAGCAATAGTAGCAGTTTTTGGACAAATTGACCAAAAAATTTACAAAATTCTGCCGCAGAATTAAAAAATCCGTTTTTGGTGTTTTTCATGAAAGTTTGTGGATAGTACGCTCTCGTATTTGGCAGCAAGGTGCCCCTACTTATTGCCTAACAACCCAGAAAATTTTAGCCGAATCGAAGCTAGGCGCCCCGAGAAAAGCGGGAAAATCGAAACCTACAGTACCCCGCTGGGGCACGTTTTAGCAAGCAATATAAAAATACCATAGATTGTGGTGGAATTTGGTGTGGAATCCGAGATTAATATTTGGATAGGTCATTGACAAAATATCAGCCATAGGCAGCGAGTTATAAGCGAGTTATAACTCAAAGAACAAAAATAACGCAAAATCGCGAAAATTGTTTTGCTTTTAAAAAATGAAATATACCTCGATAAATTCTAAGATTTTGCCATTACATTTTTACAAATTTATACTATTTTTAGGCCAAAAATCAGAATTTTCCCACCTCCCGTTCAAGAGCGCACAATTTTCGGTCGTAACCAGCGTCAATAGTACAGTTGCGTACTCAAAAATCGAAAAAATCAAGTTGTGTTAAATCTTCATGCCCAGCATATTTAAGCATTCTGGCATGGTAACGTACCTTCGATTCTCTACCGTTCGCGAGTTATTTCGACCCAAACTGTGTCCTTTTTTTTTGCACACCCTGTACTGGCATGTCGAGGTCCGCAGTTACCCATATGGTGGCGCAACCGTCTCCCCTGGTCTTTTCGCAGACGGACCAGATGTCTACTTCGGTCCTATTACAAGCGAGAAAAACATGGAAGACTTCAAGACAATTTTCCATAATTCGACCGTGCACCGCCTTGACCTTATGGCCGAGCTTCCCGTTGATATTGACATCCGTTGCGATGACTTGGAACTGGAGTTCAAGTACACCGACTTGCTCTCAATTCTGAAGCGTCACAAGCCAGCCGGGAAGTATGTCACGAGTTCCATAAGCGGCAAAATCCCCGCCGACCCCGAATTACTGGGATGGATGAATGAATCGGCCGATGAGCTAAAACTAAGCCTCAGCGCCCCGTTGCCACAATATACGCAGCTTCGCGTACCTCGAATTCGGCTGTGCGTAACGGAACTATCGGACTCGATTTATGAAGACTACGTACGAGTAGTGATCGAAGAATGGAAGCGGGGCGAACGTGAAATCTATGCTCTGATGCTATATGGTGGCACGGCACCCGGGCTTTCCGCGCCCGCATTTTTTGCGACGTACCCGATGCTTGAAGGCCGCCGATCTACCTATTACCGAATATGCCGCCAAGACGGGGAGATTCTGATCGTCCAGTTGGCTGTTTACACCAACTACGCTTATCTAAACGATGCTAAACACTACCGCATGTGCAAATTCTCGGACGATGAAAGGCTTGCCAATTTCATGTATAACAGGGGATGATTGTTATTAATGTTGTAGATAAATGTTCTCATTTAATGCCGTCTAATTCTGAAAGAACACAGAAATCCAAAAGGATGACAAACATAACCATCTTTTTTGGTGTGAAAATCACGATTCTTTTTTGAATAAGAGGGGATGGGACATAGGGACGGTTTATTTCTGATACTTTCGACAATTTTTTATTTTTTAGTAAAAAACTTACTGTCAAGAAAATGTTGAAGAATCGTAGAAAACGAAACCCGCTTGTTCTGCCGCGTTTTCAGTAGCTGTTGAATGGTGCAAAAAATCAGCGCAATCCGCGATTCATCCGGAACGCTGGTGGACGGGAAGACTTTTAGGGGCCCCCGGATTAACATCACCTCATTAGTCAGCATACCACCGCCCTCGCCTATCGGATGTCTTTGGATACGCTTTTATATTTGCATGGGTGCTTTTCAAATAGGCGGGGGGGGAGGTTTGAGGCGGGGGGGGCACACTGCGTTTCTGCGCCCGCCCTGTTCTCTAGGCACCCCCTCTGCCTATAGGTCTATGGTGTAAAAATCATGCCGATCCGGCCTTTCTCCGGACCGCTAGAGGGGGATCGATTTTTTTTTGGGACACCAGGTAGACATAGCTTCCTCTGCCAGATATGTCCTGCTGTGACGAATTTGATGTGCTGAAACGACCGAAATGCCTCGAATAAATTTACTTGGGAGGATCTGGGCACGAATCAAAAACATACATCAGTCTATTTTGGGGATCGGATTTTCACCCCGTCGCAGCATTACTTCCAGAAAATTAGATATGACGCCACACAGCCACAAATCAGGGCAACGTGAACGACGGAGAAAAATAGGACATATATGGTTGGCCCACGATAATCTAAAAATCGCAGCTTAATTCAATATGTCGGGGTAGGTTTTTGACAGGGGAAGCCAATAGGTACACGGAAAACCCGGGAAGCGTTCCTCAAACTATCCCCATCCGGTTTGATCGTTTTCCCCTCCGCGCGCAAATAACATCCCCCACCCAATAAAAAAACACCCCCTCTAATTCGACGTGGAAGTAACGGATCGCAATGATAGTTACACCATTCGAAAGCTCTTGAAACGGCAAGTTTGTGACAATTTCCAAAACCATATTTTTATTTAAACCCGCCATTTAAAAGCAATTTTGTAGAATTTTACCGCTTTCCGGGGCTGCGTACAAGCTAACTGGCCTAAAATTCTCCATACAAAATGAACGGAAGTAGCCGTTAATTAGATGCAGAGGCCGTTCCTTAATGTTTTTAAATGCCTTATAAAATGGCGCGTTGAAATAAATAGATGGTTCTGAATTTTGTTGCAAACTCGCCATTTCAAGGGCTTTCGATTGGTGTAACTATCATTACGATCCGATACTTCTGCGTCGAGTTGGAGCGGGTGGTGTTTTTTTAATGGGACGCTCTGTAAAGCAGCGGTAAAGTGCATCAGAACCGACCCTTTCCAAGCTCTGTCGATCGGTCCGTTGACAATGTATGATCGACGTTAGGAGACAAACGAGCCGTCGATGAACCGGCTTGTCGGGAAACCAATCGCGGTGCGCAAACTCTGGGTTCTTCAGGATAAAAATACTCTGAAAAAGGGTGGTGGTGAAACTAATGGGTAAGTATTTGCCACCGTGCTGGCTGAATGCAATACGCTGTGTTCCAAATATCACTGCCAGGGACGTAGCGTAATACAGGCCCCGGGGGCCCGCCCCCGAAATCGGCCGGGGCCCGAAAATTTCATAAGGGGAGACCCTTATGATTTTTATTTTCTCAAAAATTTTGTTGCCTGCGGCGCTATTTTTTCATGTTTTTACGGCTATTTGTGGAGCTATGCAACCTTTTTTCAAAAATTTTTGCCTGCGGCGCTGTTTTTTAGGCAATGTTTTGTTTTTTCGAAAAGTTTTTTTTGGCCCCCCCCCCGAAATTTTTTTCTGGCTACGCCCCTGATCACTGCCATCAAAAAAAAGTGGTTTCGGGCTAGAATGCATCGATCTGGCTGCGATTTGCCTACAGGCAGTAAAACTTACGGCAAAGTGAGAGGCAACGACTTGAGGTACCTCCATGGATACACTGCATCGTCACATTGTCGAAATCAATCAATGAAGATTGGTGCAGACACAGCGACCCATTGGCGCCGCAATCAAAATGCAGGGAAGACGTGCAGTCTGGTATATGAGATGTTAATACTGAAAGATGAAAACTGACTGCCAAAACTAAAGTCATCGGGCAAATGACCGGATAGCATATTGAATGGCACACAGGTTTTCCTTGAATTGCCGAACCTAATCTCGGCTTTGCCCTGAGGACAACCTGCAAGCAGCTAAAAATTTACAATGTGAACAACAACCTATCATGGTGCATTTGAAAGAATCTTCACTATGGTCGAGCAGAGTGGCCGGAATGGATACCAATCGACCATTATAGCCGGCACAGAAACGATGAAGTGGAGGCCGGGGAGGAGGAGGAGGGGCAGTGACATCCAAAAAAGGGGAATGAACTACTACAGAGGGGTCCGAGATGGTTTCATCAATCATGATGGTAGTGCCAGGATCGGAAGCTGTCGTTGAGGTATCAACCATGGCAGGGGTAACTGGGGTATCAATCCTAGTTGTAGTGGCCGAGTCAATGATCACAGGAGCATTGGGATCCGAAGTCAGAGTGGATGTTTCGGGCAGGAAAAAAAGGGTTGGGAACTGGGGATGTCGAGGAATTTACAAGCAGAGGAACAGCAACTGTAGAGGAGGAATCATTTACGACAGAAGGATTTGCTTCGATCTGATCAATCTGAGGAATGGGGCCGATTTCAGGCAGAACGGACGGGTCGGGATCGGGGGCGATCGGAGCAGAACCAATTTTGACGGGCGGCTCCGGTTCAGCAGATGTAAGGGGCGCGTCAATTACCTCGGAAATAGGCGTCGGATCGGGGTCAGTGGAGGATGAAATAGGGGAGATGAAGCGCGACACTAGGACCCCCGTCAGAATCAAAAGTAGAAAAAGACCCGGCTTTAAAATCTTAACAAAAATTGTTCGGGAATGATTCTGAGCAGATCGATGACTTCGGGTTGAAATCTGTCGCTGTAAATTGATTCCATTTTATGTAAAAGGCTAATAATCAGCAATAACCTTGAGGTTGCCAGGTTTTGCCGATTCGCTCACCGCAGGATCTAAGAGTTAAATTTTTTCAAACAAAAATTTCTCTGACCTTTAACTGGGCCTTGTGGCAGCAAACTTGCAGCAATAATCTCCGCCAATTGGTACAGATGCCATCCTAGGGATGTCACGACGGTCTGCATAGGTGACAGTACGGTAAATCGGCTTACGTAAACGCAAACCAGAAACAGGAGGACGCACATTACGTGCGGTACTCAACCTACCAAAACAGCGAGAACAGCGATTTTGGCGGCAGCTCCAATGTGTGCTACAAAGTCCAAGCCGGGGGTTCTCTCGGCGACCTTGGGTCTTGGTGCTGAAAGAATATACAAAAACGGTTTTAACAATACCGGTTTGAACGGCGACATGGACGGAGGACCTCGCGTTGTACCGAGATTCGAAAGCAACGGCGACATCCCTAACTTCAGAAACTAAAAAATAGCGTTGAAACACCACGGAATAAGGCGCAACCTGCTTGTAGACCAATTTCGGCAGTACGTCTCGTCATCTCAACATCCGGTTGAGTGGAGACAGTACACAGTTCAGGCGCTAAAGGTTCGTCGATTTAAATTTAAATTTTCATTCACCTCCTTGCACACCAATTTCCTTGGACGTTTCGATTTTCCCGTCCTTGATCAATTGCTTAAAATATACAGTAAAAAAGCCTCATCAGCGTTTTGAGACCTGTAATCCGGCCCTATCTCTGTCAATATGCCATTGGAGGTGTTGGAGAAAATTAGAATAATTGAGGCAAAAATCGCGATGTTCTTTGACAGCCGTTTCATAATCGATAGAATTTGTCGTTTTACGGATCGTGTCCATTAACTGGCGCGCTTTCTGAAACAACCAAATATAAAATGGATGGTTAGAAACTACGGCAACCTCGCACAAATCCTCCATCTCCGTTGGAAACATACTTTTGAGTCGTATGGACAGTGGCATAATGATGGTGTCGACCGATTCATGAATAGTATTTGAATGGACGAGTATCTAGTATTCGGGGTTAGCGGGCGTAGCCCGCTAACCCGTTTTGGTTTGAGGTACCCCCCCATACGACTCTTTTGGGGCCCTTTTCCGGATTTAAAAAAGAACCAAGCATCGGATCGCAAAACTGAATACACCATCGGAACCGGCGACACTTTTTGCATACTATAAGCTTTTAAAATTTGAAAAAGAGTGAAATTTCGAATTTTAACAGCCGATTTAAATTGCGTTTCGAGGGGGGGTCTGCGTTTGTATGTCTGTATGTTTGTCCGCAAAACCTTTGTAGTCGTCAAAAAGTGCCTTCCCACCATCCGTTTGGGCTGAAATTTTGCACACTTATTGGGTGAATGATAATCTCGGACCGCAAGAAGAGTTTTTTTCAAAATAGGCTTTTAAAAAATTTATATTTAATTTCTAAGTTTAGAAGCTAAATTGCGGTCAAAACAATGGTTAATGATGTCCGTTTGGGCTGAAATTTTGCTCAAATATACATTAGACCATGCTGGAATAAGTAAAGAAGAAATTGCAACGAAAGAATGCTTCTTCTCTGAGATATTATAACTTTAAACCTTCGCCATACGGGGCGCCACCCTCCCCTTTGCGGCCCCAGTCCCGGGTCAGGGCGGGCGGGTCTAGCTTCCCCAAGACAGGGCTCCAGTCTCCCCGTTGGCCTAGTGGTTAGCACGCTGTACTGGGAAGACTTGGCTCCCGAGTTCGAACCCCACCCAAAAGCTGGTTTTTGCCGATTGGCCCCCGTGCATCCTTATGGTTTCTAGTGCCGTCACAAAGCGCCGCAGGCAAATTTTTTTGAAGTTTTGCGTACAAGAGTTCATCTGAATAAGTATTCATTGGCTTATTTTACGATCTTAACAATAAGATTGAGGCAAAAAGGGCTAAATTCTCTCTAAGGCTAAAAAGAGTCTTTTTAAAAAAGGGCTTTTGGTTTTCGCAAAAAGAGACGAATTCTCGTGGCAACAAAAAGTGCTAAATTCCTTTCAAACTCTTAAAATGCCACAAAATGTGGGATCAACCAAAAGTTGCTGGCACCTTATTAAAATGGACAGATCTAGTTTCTAGCGGTTTCGGCTTGCAAATAATTTCTGTATTATGATCTATTTAAGCTTTCTGGAAATTAAACTGTGGACCTGACCTGTGATCTGGGATGGTACCGAGTTTATTAAGATTTTAAATAGCCAGCAACTTTTTGTTGTTCCCGCATTTTGTGGCATTTTAAGAGTTTGAAAGGAATTTAGCACTTTTTGTTGCCACGAGAATTCGTCTCTTTTTGCGAAAACCAAAAGCCCTTTTTTAAAAAGACTCTTTTTAGCCTTAGAGAGATTATCAATTGGATTTAAACAAGTTTCTCTCGAACCTCCGCCATGTCTAGCGCGATCCATGTGTTCTCGGGTTCATCCGCAAAATAATAATGTTTTTGATAACATTTCCAGCAAGTGATTAGCCGAGGAATCTAACACGCGATAAACAACTTCTTATACAACTAACGTTCTCGCGGAATACCGCCAACTCCAAGTCAGCCAAAGATTTCCGCATGTCGTTTTCCAATTCGCGTAACTTGAGGAACATATCACCAACAGGATAGTCATTCGCGTGGCATCGTGTACAACGGTGTAACTGTTTACACCACGAGGTCTAAAAAATAGCGCTAGACAAAATACTGTTGTACGTAACTAACTACGTAAAGAATAACGCACCATAGCTTCGATTGAATACATTTCCAATTAAGCTCTTTCCGGGCCGGGAAACAGATCAGGTAGCGCGCGAACGGGGTGAACGGTGAAGTGGTCCCAGACGCCTTATCGGACTTTTCCCTCATCCATTTTCTTGCAGAGAAGAATGGTGCATTCCGGAGTAATTGATTGCAGAAAGTGCGTTGGGTACGAGTTTACTTACCCCCCCACAGCCAAAGGGTCTCAAAGTTTTCGATATTTCCGCTAGTTTCGGAATTTTCTCAACGCGAATCGATAGAGTGTCGATAAATATACGAAGAATTTTCATTTGAGCCTAGAATAATGTAAAATGAAAAAGTTATATGGTTGCAACGGCAATTCTGCCATCAAGACTTTGCGAGGTCGGCTAAAATCGTAGATAGCTCCATTTTGAACCTGTAATCTGTCGTTGCTCACTGCAGAAGCTTTTCACAAAACCGCGTGAGATATTTCCATAACAATATTTATTCGGTACCGCAAAAAGGGGTGAACGAGACGAAAAATCAGTACAAATCACAGAGCAAAAGAGAGAGAGAAGAAGACAAATCGATAAAGAGCAATACGGTATTGATTGATTTACAGGGAGGGAGAGGAGAAAAAGAGAGAAAAAGAGACAGTCAGACTTGTGGCTTGATATTGTTGGCCGCCGGGTTTTTCGTCGGTTTGAAGGGGACCTGGCGGGCCTCGTCGCTGTCGCCTGAAATGGAGATAAATCTATAAAAATGCGAAAAAAGGAAGAATCCTTAAATTTCAAAAATTCTTTTAAAATTGTCAAAACATAATTTAAATGCATTCAAAAAACACAACATTTGCATTGCTGAAAAAAAATCGAAAGTTCCCACTGTCAGGCAGAAGCCGAGCCGTAGTTGGTGAACGTCTCGGAGGCGGTGGAGGCGATGGTTGATGGCGCGTCATGTAGCAGCGGATTGCTGGAATTACGGGTTTATATCCAAATGGTTTCTGCTAGCTGACCAATGGCAATGATGGCCACGACGACGACGAGGGCAATCAGGGAGCACGAGACGATCACCACGATGGCACCTTGACGCAGATGGCGTACTAAATGGAGGAAAAATATGGTTTTTTTATTTGTTCCTGTCAGTTGCCCCCTGCCCCCTTTCTCTCTCTCTCTCTCTCTCTCTCTCTCTCTCTCTCTTTCGTTCTCTCTCCACCCACATTCACATGCCCCATCCGTCTTGACCATCTTCACGTCGTCGATCGAGTAACACTCCGAGCTGCACAGAATCTCGCCCACCCGAGGGCATTCTGAAATATGGAGATTTCCTTGTAGTCTGTAGCCTATTTTCTGGACCACAGTCCACAAACTACACTCTGTGGTCTAACAACGAGAAATTTTTGTAGTTTCTAGGCGATCGTCTGGACTACAAACTACAGTTTTCCGCAAAAGAACCAACTCTGAAAGGAGCATGTGGTGCGCTTGGTTTTCGGGTTGTACTCAATCTTCGTGGGTCGATCGTATGCGATGCATGTATGATGGCCAGTGGGGGACCAACAGGCCACCGCATCCACCACATTGTCACAATCCTTCGGCGAGTAGGCCAATTCTGGAAATGGAGGCATTAATCGATTGTATGGCAGACAATTTGACGTTTGGTGCGCCGAAACGGGCAACAAACCACAAGGTATGCAGGCTACGAACTACACTAAAACTACGCCAAAAACTGAAAAATGTGGCATAAACTACAAACTGGACGGCAAACTACAAATTTTCCTAAAAACTACAAGTTGCCCGACCGGCTACAAGCTGCGAAAAAGTTTGAAAGTGCACGCCAAACCGGCAAAAATTGTTATAAACTACAGGGTCTTCAAGCTGGACGCCAGGCTACAAAACACGCGCCAGATTGCTCGGATAAGTTTTTTTTTAGCTTAAAGCGATAAAATTCTAGCCAAAAGGCAGAAACCAATACCGAACCTAGCCAATTGTGATGGATTGACCATATGACATCGATTGTTGTCGGCAACCCTTTGAATGTGAAAATACGGGATACAGATCATCTTATTCCCCTTCTCAGCCATCATACACGGATGGTGGTCGGGTGGGCAGTCTGGAAAAAAGTCAATTGAGAGGCGAAAGCAGTATTTTTCAAAGGGTTGTGACAGTCGACTGAACTTCCTAAAAAATCTGTGCTAGTTACCCACTAACATTGACCAGAATGCAGCTGTCTCTAGGCCTTTAAAGGAGCTGGAAAGACTGGCAATCAATTTTAGGCTAAATCGAGGTATCCGGTCACTAATGGATTTTGGTTTTGTATGTCAAGGATTTTAACTGTGGTTTTTACGATTCTGCTCCGCCGGCGGCACGCAACGCGCACACTCGACAGCTTTGCCATCGCGTAATCGATTACGCTCTTTGCAGGTCCACCAAACCATGTGTACGCGTTGCATGTCGCGGGCGCAGCAAAAATCCCTAGGAAATACAAAGCCAAAAATTCATCCAAAAATCCAAAAAATAGTTTCCCTCTCATGATCCCGATAAACCAACCCTAGTGAAACGGACCTTTAGCGTACAAATCCTGTTCTCGCCATCATAATCAATCAGCAGCCCGTCTCGATTATTGATCGGTCTCCATCTCCACAAAATCGGCTCGTGTCGCCCGCAATTTAGCGCCGTAAACGGACAAGCTGGAATTAGGAAGTGCGAAGCTCGAAAAAGTCGAACTAGAATGTTCAGGTTCCAGAGTGCATTCGTCGCCATTAGTTACCATCGTCAGTCTTTCGTACGGTACACACAACTCGGGGTGTTATTTGCCCCTCGACACATGTGGTGTCCAGGGAAGTTGTAGCAGCCTAAAGAACCATAAAATTATTACTGTGGATTTATTGGATTTTTTGGGCTACAAATAGGAAATTTTTAAGGAATCTAAAACAAATATCGATTAGTGTTCATATAAATTTAAATGATAAATCGATATCAAGTCGCCTACTTGAAATAAGCATTTAAAAAGTATTTTTAATTTTTACTATCATACCTCGATGGATACACTGCATGGTGACGTTGTCGAAATCGGCGAGTGAAGATTTTGGCGTACAAATTGGACTATTTACACCACAATCCAAGTGATGAGGAGACGAACAGTCGGAAAACGGAATGTATGGTCTCTCTCCCTCACTCTCCCCTCTCTCTCTCCACTCTCTCTCTTTGTCTATTCCTCTATCTCTCGCTATACCATAGCAAACCTCTAAAAAATAAACTGAAAACGAACTGCCCAAAACGAAGTCATCGGGCAAGTAACCGGACAGCATTTCAAATGGCACACATCTCTTCGTCGTATTCCCAAACGAAATCTCGGCTTTTCCTTCGGGGCAGCCTGAAAAAAGAAGTTGTAGCCGAAGCTGAAGCTAGAAGCGAGCGAGGTTTTTTAGGAATGGGTTTGGCAGGCCGATCTAGCCGAGATCTTTTAGGAAATTACAGCCAAACGAACAAGCATCTTTTCTGGCCCTAAATCGAGAATCCTACCTTATATAATTTTGGCGTGTATCTGTGTGTGTTGTGTGTGTGTGGATGCGTTTCGAGGCCTGATTTGAGGGCCTTCCCGTGCATAAAAAGCCCTAATTCTCCGTCACCCGGGGGGGAATCGACCCTTCCTGGTCCGATGACGTTTTCAGAATTACGATA